AGGATACTTTTCGTCTCTGTTGGAGGAAATGTGTTTAGGTTTCAAATTCTTTTAGCATTAAAGTATTTTACAACAAAAATATGGAAGAACATGCACCGATCATTCAATGTTTACATGATTGATGAGACACCAGTATAAATGCTGAGAATGCTGGGGCGGATCTCATACAGGGAAACGATTTCCTTTCCAATATTTTAATAAAATACCCGTGCCTTACACATTACTTCAATTTTGTCTATACCAGTAAATCGAATATTTGCATTTTTTCACCCATATTCAATTATTTAGAAAATTACTTGTCTATATATAAGCGCCGTCTATACATGCATGCATTGAAAATCAATAGCCTAGATCAGAGACATTTATAGCGATATAGCAAGATCGATGTAGCGAAACGGGTCTCAAATTCTAAACAGGCCTTCATTTAAATTAATACCAGTGGACTAGGGTATGCAACATAAAAATTCAGAATTAAACATTAAAAAAATTAAATTATTATTATATATACATGATATACAATGGTCAAGAACCACAAAAAAAAAAAGATAGACGAGTCAAAGCGTAAAACACGTGTATAAAAAAAATCTGCGACGACGCTCACCGTCTGCAACGTCATATCTTTATGACGTTATTTCTCTGTTCTAGAAAAAATGCCATAAGGACCTTTTGTCGTGGTGGCAATCAATTACATGTTAACCTGTTGTGATGAAAAATAGGGAGATTCCAACCTCAAAAGCGGTAGCATTGCGCGCGTTGTTTTACGCTTGGATTTTTGAAGATATATTGCATGTTATATACATGTTTGGTCTTAAATGAAACTACATGATTCAATCTTAAATATCAACTGCAAAGAAGTATAGACGGAAACATCTTAAGTTTGATATACTTTAAATTATACAAATTCAAATATTTTTTCATGCTTATCATTTTGCTTTGATTGGCTGCTTACTTAGCCTTTTGAAGTGATCTTTGCTGATATAGCCTAGAAGCAATAATTCTGAATGTTTATTCAGTTATCAAACAAAGCAAATGATGACATAGTTTAATCTAGAACTAAAACTAGTTCCTATTTTTCGTTAAATAAATCGGATTTCCCGCGATGATCGAAAACGAAAGTAGAGATGTGCCTCATGGCTTGGTCAATCGAGTGATTTCTACTGACTTTATTGATAGAACTGCGAGATCCTGTGCTTTTATAGACGATGTCAAACGTTTTCATCCAATTCTGAAATGTTGTATCTTCTTTTTTCATGACATGTCGACAAAATGTATCGTAACCAATGGAATCAATGAGTTTTGTGCTGTAGTCGTTGTCAAATACGTGCTTGAAATCTATGTACACATCGGTACAAAAAAAGCGTTTGTATGCTTCCGGGTCAAATCACGCGATATCTTACGAGATTTTACGACGAGTGGCTTCAAAAATGGATACCCAAGCAAACCAAAAATACTTTAGACAAAACTTTTGTAGAAAAGCGGTAGATTTACGAATAAAATCGGTAGGCGGGAGATGGAGTGAAAAAGCGGTAGACTCCCGCCTAAATCGGTAGAGTTAACATGTATGCTTGAGAAGAATTAAGATTTTCAAAGATTTTTCCTATATATTTCTATGTAAAACTTTGATTTCCCATTGTGGCCCCGCCCTGACCCCAGGGTTCATGATTTGTACAATTTAGAATCTACACTATCCCAGGATGCTTCCTTATAAGTTTCAGCTTTTCTGGCCCAGTGGTTCTTGAGAAGAAGAATTTCAAAGATTTTTCCTATATATTTCTATGTAAAACTTTGATTCCCCGTTGTGGCCTCGCCCTCCCCCCGGGGGTCATGATTTGAACAATTTGGAATCTACACTACCCCTGGATGCTTCCATATAAGTTTCAGCTTTTCTGGCTCAGTGGTTCTTTTCAAAGAAGATTTTCAAAGATTTTTGCTATATATTTCTATGTAAAACTTGGATTCCCCATTGTGGCCCCGCCCTACCCCCGGGGTCATGATTTGAACAATTTAGAATCTACACTACCCCAGGATGCTTCCACATAAGTTTCAGCTTTTCTGGCCCAGTGGTTCTTGAGAAGAAGATTTTTTAATGACCCCACCCTATTTTTGTCTTTTCTTGATTATCTCCCCTTGTGAGGGGACTTGGCCCTTCATTTTAACAATTTAAATTCCCCTTCACCCAATGATGCTTTGTACCTGGCAAGTGTGGTCAAAATTGGCCCTGCGGTTCTTGAGAAGAAGTCGAAAATGTGAAAAGTTTACAGCCGGACAGACAGACAGCCGGACAGACAGACGGACGACGGACAAAATGTGATCAGAAAAGCTCACTTGAGCCTTTGGCTCAGGTGAGCTAAAAAACAAGGATTTAAAATGTGTTTTATTATTGTAAATTTATGCCTTAATCAAAAAATACTATCACCTCTTTAAAACAACATGCAAAAATAGTGTATTCTCATTTGTCTGTATTGGCAATATGTATCGCATATCGCACCTCTGTATTGCAATACGGAGTTCCCAAAACGCACCGGTCCGCCGGGGATCCCCGGTAAACTTTGAATGGGACCGGTAAAATCTTAATTTTATCGGTCAAAATGTCCGATGGTTTTTTACAGACTGTATAACAATTAAACATAATCCTAACAAAATCATTTAATTCAATTGTCCTGACAATAAACAAATGCAAAACTAAAGGAAATAAAAAAAACGTCGGGGGCGCGCCAGATTATTCTCGTGCATTCTTGGTTAAATAAAATGTATACGGTGATTGTCTACTATAAAAAGCTACATATTAAAATAATAATCTCCATATGTTTGGGAGGAAAACAGTTAAAACACTGTCAAACAAATATTTTTCCCTCTTAATAGATATATGCACTAGTTCTGACAGTAAAAAAATGTGACAATCTACTTTCGTTTTGCAGAACGAATTTGCAGGGCTGCAAGAGTTGCCTGCTATTTCTGCTTGATTACAGACAATTTGTTACCATTTATTATTTTCTCTATAATTTAATCTATTAGCATGATTAATATTATACCAACTTTTGGATTTTTTCCTATGTATTTGATAGCATTTAAAATACATGCGCGTTTTCCCCCTTTTCTAAAAATAGCTGACTGACTTTAATGTAATAAAACGACAACAAATTCACTAAAAATAATCATTTTCATGATAAATTTGCATATTTTTATCATTAGTACATATTGTTAACTGTGTGGAGGTTGTATAATACGTATAACTAGTCAGAAATATCTGACTTTTTACAGGTTTTTTTAAACGATTTTGATATTTACGTAATATTTTTCCTGGCACATAAATCCAAAATCCTAAAAAAAAAAAAAGCCTGGAAAACGACAGATATTTCGGACTAATTCCAAACAATCAAGCAAAAGATGCATATTGCAGATTTTATTTTAAAAAATTTTAAAAATCTGTCAGAAAGGAACATAATAATTTAATACGATGAATTAAGCGTCATCACACACAGTCGGCGACGTCAAATCCCGCATACACAGTATTTAAATAAATTAAAAAAAAAAAATCTGCATTTGCCATCTTTTCATTTACACTTATTTTTTATCAAATCGACACAATTTCCAATCCTATAATATGTTAAATTTAAATACAAAAAATTAATGTCCGGTAAATTTTACAACTGTCCGGTGAATTTTGAATATTTACAGGACAATTGTCCGACATATTTTTGACTAGCTTCGGGAACTCTGGATATGTATCGTATCGAAAAATTTCTTTCAATACCCAGCCCTAGACCATACCCAGGATAAAATATTTATACTCATAACTGATATCATTTCTTTGTTAAAGTTCTAAACATATAATTACATTTTTTTTACTGATCGATCTATTTTGATCATCTCAGATATTTCACGTATGATAACATGGATAATTGAACGTGACATTAATGTATGTTGCATGAGTATCTAGATGTTTTAAGTCTGTTTTGTCCATTATTTTTCTAGAAATCATTGATATTTCACAAATCCTGAGAATCATTTAGCACGGCCACAGGTTTGCACATTTCCAGCACAGGTGCTTGAGGACAGGACCCCCACCCCCCCAATATAGACCCCCGGGCCTTTTTGATTTTTTTTTTCTTAAACTATCCTTAAGTAACATGTTTGTGATGTAATCCATACCATCAAACCGAAAAGTTACAAAAAACAAACATTTATAAAAATTCGTAACCTACTATATATATATTTTTATATAGAGAGTAGGTTACGAATTTTTATAAACTGTTTGTTTTTCGTAATTTTTCGGTTTGATGGTATGGATTACATCACAAACATGTTACTTAAGGATAGTTTAAGAAAAAAAAATCGAAAAGGCCCGGGGGTCTATATTAAGGGGGGGGTGCTATCCTCAAGCACCTGTGATTTCCAGCATATTACATTATGTAGGGATTATATGTACGCAACATCTGTCGATTAATTGCAGATTCCACGATTTACGAAGATAGATGTTCCGAGAACTGCCGATGTCAAAAACCTCGGCGTTTTAACTGGAAGTGGCCTATTACACATCTAATTCCTTAAAAGAGCTTTTTCCCTCTTTATGATTAATATGACCAGAGATGTGCCCCCATCCTATACCCTAAGCATTATATCTGAACTTTCCCTGGATCCCATGTATTTTCTGAATATTGATATGGCTTACATTGTTCTGCTGTTTTGGAAGATATTTTGTCTAAAATAGTTTTTCTCTATATACATGATAAATGTATAATTCAAAATATAATTTTTAGCTTTAACCTCTTGCTAACCCCTGTCTGCATGATATGGCCATTGACCAGATATTGCAAAATCATCTAAATCCAGTAGTGCAAAAATTTGACGAAGCATAATGCACATTGTGACAAAATACATGTTCACTTGATGATATGCACCAGTAGCACTAGGTCCAGTGACCATACATGCAAAGTTTTGTAATATTACATCTAATTAATCTATATTGACTATTTCACAACACTAAATTGAGGTTATACCTCTTCCAGCAGACTGTGATGGTGCCTTTGGTTGAGTATTTTCCCAGTGGTTTGTTGCTCCTGTGGAGAATGATGAGATATTTGTGCCTTGTGTATTGGTTTTATTTTCTCCAGATCTCTGCCTTTCTAGTCTCGGTGGTAAATTTTGTTGATAGGGCTTGTGAAATGGATGGTCTTTGGACTGATGTGACTGTTTATCTGTAAATATTGCGAAATTAAGTAAAATATCTATAAAAACTCTTGTACTTATGTTACTAACTTTCTGTCATTTGTTTTCATTCTAGTCTTCTATTAAGTCTACCGACTTTGTTAAATATACATGTTACTAATACAAGAAAACTCAGCTCTATGTGAAGATTTACGTACTGATCTATTTGGTTTCAGAATCCAAACCCTGATGCATTTATATCCCCTGATTAATCAAAATTATTAATTATGATAAATTTCAATCATTATTTGTTAATCCCTCTGCTTCCTAAATGAAAATTAACCATTCTTGAACTTACATGAGCTACTGTAAGCTGGACACACTCGCACTTCTCCATTCTGCAATTCTTTAACTTCCAGTATATCAGGAACTGTCTTCAGAAGCTCTTTCAGAGAAGAAAACCCAAGTCTTATTGGGTCTATCTGAATGTTAAACCTTTTTGAGAATGCAGCATCAAAATGTGTGAATGGTAAGCCATCTGGATATGCTTTAAAAAGTTGCAATAAATAATTCCTTATGAATGGTGGGACAGTAGGAAGAGGCCGAGGCTGCTGGCTTCTGTGTCTTTGTGGTGGGGGACCCCCCTTTCTGAGAGTTGCCCACTTGTTTTTGTTTGTGACCTTCTGTTTGGAGACAAGTTTTTGAATATGAGCTGTGTTAGAATCGGCAATACCAGCAACACACATGACGCCCTTCTTCCATGTGATGTGCAGGGCATCTGACATGTCTTTAAGAAGATCTTCCAGATTAACATACCCAAGAGCCCTATAGGGAATTGGTTCCATAATAAAGTCATGGTAGTCACGTTTCAGTTCATCTATAGTCAGTGCAGCTGGTGCAGATAGGAGCAATGATCTCAGATTCTTTTTCACGTCTTCTTTCTTCTGTGCTTTGCTACTCATTTTTGCAATTCAAAGTGCTATATATCTACGACAAAAATGGTAAAATATTTAAAATTTTGCTAAGGTATGAGTATGCATCGAGACAGTATCATGCATTTCGCGCTAGTTGTCGTTGCATGTGCTGGTATTAAATTCGAAACTACTACAAAGATTTTTTGATGCTTTAAAAAACGCGGACTTTTCCAAAAATCATGTTATCATGTTAAATATGCACTTATTTGCCAATTACTATTGCAATCTACACTCTAAATTCGTTTCAAGTAATTTTTTTTTTCGAAATACGAAACAATGCATATGATTTCTAACTAAAAGAAAAACCTAACTGGTCGAAATCCGAATTAGTCATAATGTCATTTAGAGCATGGACACAAGCATTTGGATATTTAATGAAACTGTCACGTTCATTGCAGTCCCAGCAATGGAAATTGACTAATCTTCCACGTTTCAGTTATTCTTTTTTAGGTTCAACTTTTATTCGACAGCATGTGAAAAATGTCTCCGAAAGGTATTGTTTCGAATTTCCTCAGTATGTTATGCAAACACTCCAAATCTCAATCAGTGTCATTTATGTGTAATATAGAATGTTCTTTTTATTTATTAAGTAGATCAAATGGTTTCCTTTATCTCTATATTATTTCAAAGCATTTATGCGTTAATTTTTAATTTAAAAAAATGACAACTTACTTTTTAAAAAAAAAAGTTATTTCATTTAATGATTTATAGACATTTGCACATCTTTTCAAAGATTCACATGTTGACTATGCGACTGTAAGTGCGAGTGCAGATGCCCATTCACTTCAATTTAGGTTCTTCTTTTCAAACCACAATTGACATTTATAGCATGTTTCGAGTAATTATAGATAGTATGGCATCACTTGACGTCATATGCATGCAGGGATAGATGTATTACTGAAATTGAAGCCTGAATAGTGTTATTTTTTATAAAGAACAACCCATCTACTATTTATATACAATTTTCACTAATGAACAGTTAGTTTCTCAATTTTAATTTATCATTTTTAATAAGTTTATGGAGCAACCGTTGGGGGTAGCGCAGATAGTTCTAGATATTGTTTTAATTTATAGATCGGGCTCGTCAAACCGCACATGAATTTTTGTGTGTGTAGACTCTGATGTCACAAAAGGTCATATGTATAAGTTGCTTTACCAAAAATAAGCTGGCTGAACAGAGCTGAAAGATAATGAAAAACATTTCGTTTATGATTTATCTTCAGTATATATCCACTAAATCAACATGAGATAACTTTATGTTGAACTTTTGCAATTATTCTCAAGAGCACATAGCTTTAATAAGTGATACATTGTGGGTCCAACCAGCAATGTAACTGCAGAAAAAATTGTTTGGATCAATGTGCAATGTCCAAATTTCCTCTTCACCCAGGCTTTATTTTAAGAGCTATCATTAAGTGAAGCTTCATGCCACTCACTGGCCATGGGCTTTGTGCAAGTTGTGCTTTGCGCAACTCGCTGCGCTTGCTATTATTTATATGTAAAGTTTTGAAGTCACCAAGAAAACATAGTCTACAGTGAAATGCATATCCCAAAGGATTGTAGATCTAGAGGTAACTGTGGACAAAAATTTCATTTTGATCAGTGCATGTACAGTCCAAATTTTCTGTTCCCTCAGATGAAGTTGGGTGCTTTGCAATGCTCATGAAAATTATCAATGATAGAATTGATCACAGGCGCGGATCCAGAAATTTTTTCCAGGGGGGGTCCGACCCAGTCAAAAAAAAATCCAATCCCAGAAATTTCTTGACAAGCAAAAAAAAAAAAACAAACAAACTCGCCCAAACGTCAAAAACCTATTTCACTTTTCATACCCATTTCACACATATTCGCATTTACCAGGGGGGATCAGCGTTTTCCAGGGGGGTCCATGGTAACTTTTTTCTTGTTTTAGTATATATAAATTTTTTAACCTGGTAAATTCCAGGGGGGTCCTGACCCCCACCCCCCCTCTAGATCCGCACATGGATCATGTATTTAGATTGATCATAATTAACAAGTATGTTGGTAAAATTTCATAAAAAAATAGCCTGTCCTGCATAATCTCTTTGGTAATAGCTAAATCAAGAGATTGTACTGAACTTAATAAAATGCACAAAAAATATATGTACTTACTCTCACTTTAGGAATAGATATCAGCAAGTAAACACATAAGTATACCTTCAGCAGTGTACCCTCCTGAAGCCAATTACAATGTACTGCTAAAGGACAACTATGTTTTTTATTTACACTCCTAAAAGACAACAACTATGTTTCCTATTTACACTTTGCACTTGTACAAACAGTACATTCATATCTTCGTAAATTTTTATCCTGTAAGTAGAAAGCACTGGGGGGTGGAAATGCTATAATCAGGATGTGCTCGCTTGTCACTAGTTTTTTAATTGGAAAGGGAAATTACTCACACAAGTTTTAAAAACAAATACAAAGACAAACTCTTTGATCTCCTTTCATTAGGTTTCAAATGCCCATTAATTATTACTTAAAAATACATGCAGCTTCATTTTATTTCTTGGTGAAGAGGGAATTTTTCTTATTCTTGTTTAAAATCAAACATTTCACTGAGCATGATATACTGTAAATTTATGATATGAGCTTGTTTGATATTTGGTGGAAATTGATTTTTGAAGAATTCAGCTTAAATTTGATCTGATGCACTTCGAAATATTTTTATTTTTGCATAATATATGAACACTTGAAGAGATATAGGGTTCTACTTGAATTCGCAGAAGTTTCTTTCCACTAAAAGTGCTAAAAAGAATACATAGCTAAATGTACATATCACGTTTACAGTAGACCATTGTTTTTTTATGTTTCATTTTTTTTTTCAAGGATGGTTCCATCAAGGCAAAGCACTGTCAGATTTCTTGGCACTGTGACAGTGACCAGAGCCTTTTTGGGTTTGTTTGGCTCCAAAGAAAAGGATCCCGTCAAAGAGCAGATCAGACTAGGACACATTGCCGTAGCAAGGGGAGACTACCAGGAGGCAGATAATGCTTATCATCTGGCACTTCACGCAGCGCAACAACAATTCACAGAGAGAAAGATTGACAAACGACAACTGACATTAATCAGAATATATGTGTTTGATGCGTTAGGAAATATTGCTCTGAAGAATGGAGATCTAGAGAAAGCTGAGAAGCTTTATAAAGAGACACTAAAGGTAGCGATAAACAATGATTTTTTCAAACAAACTGACAATGGGGTAGTAGAGATAAGTATGCGGTTAGCTGCTGTTTATGCCATGATGGGAAAAGATGAAGAAACTCACTCAGGTTACCAGTTCTGTATCAAAACTCAGGAAGATAAAATCAAAGCAAACCCAGAGGAAAGTCCTAGTACATATGGCCTGCTAGGGATGTGCTTGGAAAGCTATGCTAAATATCTACTGAAATCACAAAAGTACGATAAAGCTCTAGAATATCTTCAGCGATCAGAAGAAATTGTTGTTTCGTATCTAGGAAATGATCATCCACAGAGGATTGTGGCCTTGAATGACATTGCATCACTGTACATTATGAAGAATGACTTAGCAAAAGCGGAGGAGATATTGAAAAAAGCTCTAGCCATTGGGCATGCGAATAAGGATAGCACTCTGCCTGTTTTGTATTGCAACTTAGGAGCTTTATATTTAAGACAGTCTAAAATAGATAAAGCTCTAGAGAACTGTAAAATGGGTGAAAAACTTGGAGAAGAGATGCATAATCCTGAAGCAGTTAGAAAGGCCAAGTACTGCATTGGCAAATGTACACCAAAATGAATTTGTTGATAAATTAATTTCTTATTCCATGAGTTTGTCTATAAATAAATATGGTATAAAGTTCCCATCAGTATTCATTTTTAATATATAAATGAAAAGGGGTACTAATTTATAATGTATTCATGTAAAAAAAAAATTAATCAGACTAGTTAAAAATGAATACCAAAGATACAATTGTACAAACTGTATAGAGGGAAATTTTAGCAACAATTTTATTTTCGCTCTCTTCATTATTGGGCAAATTTAAAATGGGACAAATTTAAAGAACACAGCATAATTTCTTAAACAGAACTATGACTGGGCGAACTTAAAACGGGGCAAAATTGATTGCAAGTGCAAAAGGGTGAAAATAACTTGGGGGCAAAAATAACCATGTAAACGGTGTATGTTTGATACTTGCACAAAATACACATGTATACTGCAAACCAACTTTTATTCGTCTGCGAAAAAAATGAGTTTTGAGACCTACTTTAAGTCACAAATATTAATCACTGCAAACCATGTATGTTGCTTTGTTTTTGTAGAAAATGTTTCCTTATTTGTGAAAATTAATCGTTGCAGAATGATTTCAAACTGACAAATCGCAAATAAAAGATGACGTGAATAATAGTTGGTGTCCCACAGTATACAGAAGCTCATTAACCTGCATATACATTGTAAATGTTCACATGAATATGGAAGTTTTCTTCATTCACAATGTTCTGGTATATTTCTTTTTATTATACCCCCCCCCCCCCCCAATTTTCAATAATGCGTAGCATCACAATCAATAACCAGAGTGACTCATGCAATCTCAAACTAGGTATATTGGTATATTACAACACAAGGTTAAAACAAAAAACAAAAAATTCTGACCTGTCACCAGTTTTATTGTAAACAATAATGACACAGAATAATTACCTTTCTCACATTTAAAGCACAGAGAATTTTTATCACCTTTTCATAAATATACTCATCAAATTTAACATCCAATCTGTTGACATTCACACTCACTTTTGAAAAAAAGCATTTAAAAACAATCAAAAAAATGTTAATTTAATATTCCACATTCGCAAACTTGCACACCAAATAACACTGAAGTAAGTCACCATTTCACTTTGTTACATATAAATGTACATACATGCACAAACATATACATGTGTACCTGGTACTCGCAACATGGTATAAACATCTACAGTAAACAATATTTCAATACTCCATCAATATTGGACCAGAACTGAGAGAGTACCAATGTTGCCCACAATATTATCCTATGCTCCAAAGAACACCTCATGAAAAGAAATGAAGTTCCAGAATGTTTTTAGTATTCAAATATATTTAGACACATTTTCATATTAATCAGCACAATTTCATAAGCAAAACATTATTTAGATATTAAAAGTTTAGTAAGGAAAATGACATGTCCTCTGCACTTTTGTTAGAAGTGTGTTTTACTTAACATTTACCATTAGTTCTGTAGCTAGCTCAGGAGAAAAAATTAAATAACTCATCGTATGACTAATTTCTGTAGCTCATTTTTTTTATTTGACCCTTCCAATGTAGCATAGAGACATCTAATACTTCTATATAAACATGTTGTGATTTTATTTTTGCAATTTTATCTAAACCAACCCCTGAACAAGTTGTATAATATTTATACGTTCTCATTATTAATCTTGGCAAGCATCCTTTATTTACAACTGAATGATAAAAAACCCATTATTTTCATAGAAATCTCACAACTTTAGCTTGTTTTACTCTCACAACAAGACCTTACTGACTAGATGTAGAGAAAAATATATGCAACTACAGAGAATAATTTCACCCAAAAGTACCTGCACTTCTTTTTACATTATACCGGCATAACAAATGCATTTGAACCAAATTTTTTTCTTCTTTTCACCATGGTTCAAATTATTTCTAGAACTATACAACAAAAATTACACATAATCGTTTTGGCATTGTTCAGTCTGTTTAAAAACAGTCCATTAACACACAGGCACCTGACGTTACTTATTTTTCTTATAATTAATAAATATACCCCCTACCTAATAATAAACCCTTGTTTATCATTAGTTAGGGGGTATATTTCTTTCTATTAAAAGAAAAATAAGTAAACATCAAGTGCCTGTTCATTAAAATCATGGGAACTATATGAAATCACAGCTGACATTCATAATTAATGTTAATGAAATATTGGTACAGAATAAAATAATAACTACCTATGTGATATGGAGATGCAATTCAATCATCCAAAGTTATCCACATGGTCATAACTGTTAAAATACCTTTTACTCTACAAGTTCACTACATTTAAGCTTCAAAATATGATGAAATATCAAGTTCAAAAAATATAACTGTGACAAAATAAACAGAAAGCAAATTGAAATTGAATATTCTTGTTTTAAAAAATTAAGTTCTGATCTTTCCAGCTCCCTCCTATTTATTCAAACTGACCTATCACAACCATCATATAGACCCCCACTAGGAGGGCTGCGATTTCTTTCACAGATTGTCCAAGTTTAGTGTCAGCTAGAAGCTCAGGAATGACAGAGACAGTAGCGATGTAAATAAATCCTCCGGCGGTGAAGGGGAGGATCCAAGCTGTGGCGGCATCCCCTATACCCTGGGCCATTAGACTACATACGGTACCCATCATAGCTCCAATGGCAGTGGTGAACTGTAGCTTCATAGCCTGAAATTCACATAGAGGTTTACAATGATATGCAGTTTATCAATATAATTAGGTAGCAATTGTTCATACAATTTACCTCCCTTGTTCACATTACCCATTATATCAACTTTGAACTAAATTGTACAGGATGAAGATACATGTATGTACACATACCATTTTCAATTTTAACCCTTCTTACAGGCTACCTATTCAGTAACAGCCTTCATTTTTTATGACCCTGAATCTCCCAATTACATGGGCATAAAAATGAAAGGTGTTCCTGAATGTTGTTTTTACCTGTTAAATGAATCCAATTTTGGGTCTGTCTTCTGGAAAATCTTAATCAATAACCATAGCTCTTAATTAAATGGTTGGTGATCAGGCTTTCATATTTCAAATTTCTAGTGACAACATTTTTTTTTGGAGGGGTTGGGGGTGTGTGACATTTTTTACCTCAACCTTGATCTTGGTCTAAGGAGTTAAACTACTTTCTAAAGATTTATTATGTATAAATTGTATTTTGTTACCTTGCTCTTGGTACATCCAGATTGAATTAAGATGGCAAAGTCCCCAATCTCGTGAGGAATCTCATGTAGGAACACAGTTGCTGTGGTGATGATACCAAGTCCTTGACCCACGAGGAAGGATGCCCCAATGGCAAGACCATCTGTGAAGTTGTGAGCAAAGTCAGCAGCCAGGTTAAGGTAGCCTGCCACTTTTATATCCTCTGAAAGAGAATAAAATTAATTATGACTGAATGAAAAGTGTGTGCAAATAAGCTCTCACCAAATGTTGCTACATTATGAGACATCTGACATATATAATTACATATCACATTTGTAACACGATAAAAAAATACGGAAAATATTAAATAATATACAGAGAATTATTTTACAAACATTTAATGCTCTTCCTATGTTTGTCATGCATGTCAGACTATTAGTACTAACATTTTACCTTCAACAACTTCAGAATCTGGTGAACTTTTGTTATCCTTTTTTTCTTCTTTGTCTTTTTCCTTACTCTCCTCTTTTTCTGAGTCCTTCTTTTTCTCTTTGCTTTTCTCCTTTGAATCACTCTTTTCCTCTGACTTTGACTCTTTATCAGACTCCTCATTTCCTTTATCACTTTTCTCTTTTTCTTTCTTTTCTTCATCTTTCTTACCCTTTTTGGTCTCCTCTGATTTTTTGTCCTCCTTTTTATCCTCTTTCTTTGCCCCCTCACTATGACTATGCCCATGTGAATGGCTGTGACCGTGCCCTCCTTTCACAATTCTCACAAATTTTTCAACACATAAGAATGCGACTATACCAGCCAAAACCCACAATCCAACAGACATATCATGAGAATGATCATGTTCCCCATGACTGTGTGAGTGAGAATGACTGTGTTCCTCTCCTCCGTGACTGTGAGGTGAAACTGCATGAGGAATCAGATGAAGGAATGCATCGCCAAGTAGCCCCCCAGAAGCAAAGCTTAACAAAATCTTTAGTAAGTCCTGGTGTTTAGGGTCATTGGCATTCTCAATTGGAACAAACAATAAGATAACGATTGGTGATACACTGATGAAGAGTGTGGCCGCTAGAGCTTGAAAACACAGCCACGCATCAACCTCTTTCAGTGGCGATTTCTTTGGGTCTCCATGTTCCCAGACTGAGTCCATGTTGTCTACAGAATACTCAGATTTACCAGATGGCTCTCCATGGCTGTGAGCATGACCATGGGAATGGGCGTGATCATGGCCGCATCCTCCTCCATGTGAGTGGCCATGTCCTTCGTGTGAATGACCATGTCCTCCATGCGAATGACCATGACCTTCATGTGAATGACCATGCCCCCCGTGGGAGTGACCGTGTCCCCCATGAGCGTGACCATGTCCCTGTTCCTCTCTGCCAGCTGCTTCGTTGGCCTCTTTGCTATATCTGAAAGAAGCCGGCTCGTCGTGGCCATGATCATGACTGTGTCCATGCCCATGTGCCGACACGATAGCAAAATACAAGCAAAATAAAGATACAAACAACATAGCAAGTCTAAAGCATCTACTACGGGAACGTGTACCACCGGTGGCAGCCATGTTTCCTAAGGTCAAGGCCGCTGAATGTTTACGTGGCCTTTTAATGATTTTGTTAACTCGTTCCAAATCTGCTTTGTCAAATATTTACAAAAAATTAATAATTAAATGAAACCAATTTTAGCAGAAAATAAAATTTGTTTTCTAAAAACATATTCCGTCCTTTATCAAAGGTAAAAGTGTTCTCAAATGTTGGGAAGAACCTGGACATCAATCCGGAAATATTTTATTTTTCAGAAAAAAACTTCTTTTACAATGCACCAAAGTGTTTCCGATTTGTGATAATAATCGATTGGTTTTTACAACAGGTTTGGAATCATCGAGGAATGTGTTAAAGAACTCATCTCTGTTCATTCAAAAGATGTCTATTGAAGACCCCTTTTTCGTTGTAAAAGAGTAAGAAAACTTTTAATTCAAATTTCATTCATATGCACAGAAATGGGGTCTGTCTCAATATGGTTCTGAACTAGGCCTAATTAGCCTTTTTTTCATTTTAAAATATCTGCAGATGCTAATTTATAGAATGAATGATATCCGCTTTTCGTTCTGACATCTGGGAGCATATTGATTTTTCTTTAATAGGAATGACATAGATGGAAAAAAATATAGATTGTATTAATATGTTGACAGTGCGACCGTAAGGGCGAGCGCAGATACTTATCCAAGTTTTCATTTAGATTGGGCTAGTCAAACTGCACGTGACATTTGGTGTGTCTAAGACTCTGACATCACATTACATTGGATGCATGTTGCTTTACCAAACCGACTCCTGAATAGAGCTGATTTCAATCAAGATCCGTTTTATTGACTATTTTTCGGCAACAAATTCATTAAATCAAGGCATTCCAAGTTTATTATTTGTTTAACTTTTTGTTGTTATTCTCGCAAGAACATTGTTTTAGCTTTTCTGCATGAAGCAATGCATTCTATCAAATGAATGTGCAGTAGTCTAAATTTTCTCTTCGCCTAGGCGACGCTCGCTGCACTCGCTATTAATAAAATGAGAAAATTTCATTTAAGATAAAAAGGAAACTAAAGCTATTTTGAATAGCTATATGATATCAATTAATTCAAGAGATTGTGCCAGATCGGCATAATGGATATGAAACTTTGAGTCCAAATCATGTGTGTGCATAGTTGCCAACTCACCCGATTTCGTCGGGTCACACCCGATTTTTCAACCCATAACCCGATTATTTTTTATGACCCGGCGGGTCATGCTTTTCACCCGATTTTTGCCGACCAACCCGAAAATCTCCCGATTTCCGGATTTGGTTCGTAAATTAGGTTGCACTTTTAACTTCCAGTTACAACCCAAGCTTAGGTTTACGTAAACAATGCCGATGGTCGTCGGATGGATTAATTATCAGTGCAGGTGTAAACAATTAACTGGGTGTTGTTTTGACAAATCAATGTTTGAAGTCAATTAAAATGGCCTCCGATAGAACTAGATCGTTATCAGGGCCAGCAGGAACAAATTGAACCAAACACATGTCTCTGATTGAACCAAGAAAAAGAGAAACAATATTTATGTACATATCAAGGAATCTTGGGAAAAAAACTTTCATTCTAGATAAAATAAAGTGATCGAAGACAGTGTAGGCCTAACTTCACATTTAATATATACATATTGCAGTAGTTAATTAATTAAGAGAGAGGAAAAGTAACTTAAAAACTAAAATTGCAGGGATTTTCCACTACCCCGTGTAGGGCCGAATATGGGCCCCATTCCCAATTGCAAAACACCTCCCCTTTTCCCAAAAATGAACTGCATGTGTTCAATTTTTGAATGCAGAAGAACTGCAGAGGTTAACTTGGTCATAATTCACAAAATACAATCATGTTCAGGTTTGGAAATTTGAGTGAAGTGAACAAAATTTTAAGAAACTTGGGTAAACTTTGATCATAATGATCAATTCTCTGATTCATAGTTCTGAATAACTAAGTAAAAGATCAATTTTATTCATCTTAAGTATTTATTTCTTGAAAAACATCATACAATAAAATTTCCCAATTAGTGATAAAATGTCATTAAATTCCCAATTCTAAGGGCCTGGGCCCCATTCCCAAAAGTGTGTGGAAAATCCCTGAATTGGTATACTTTCAAATTTAGCAGAAACTGAAAAGGCTTTTTAAAAAAATGCACACTTACTTCAGGTCAATACTGAAATATGAAACCTTCAGTTCTCTTTTTTAACATGTAAATTTAATCAAATTATGTATGAATTTTTTGTCATTGTAAATTAAAGCCTTTTTCAATAAAAGAATTCTCAATACACAAATACTTTGTATATATTTAATTATGTATAAAATTTAATCATGGTAAATATGTCGTGAATGTGGTTACGCGTTATGACCAGATTTTTTACTTTCCAAATCTGGTCATGACCAGATTTTTACATGCTGGAGGTTGGCAAGTTTGTGTGTGTGTCGAAAGTGCAGCTGACAAAATATCTTGGTCTGAAAGTAAGATTACATTCTTTAAATAAAACACTGAAAACATCTTTTTGCTCCACAGAGAAGTACAGAAGGCAATTCACACATCACAAAACCTGCATGACAGATGGTCAGAGTTGATAAATAACCCCAAATCTGTGTCCAAAGAGGAGCTGGAATGGACGACCAGTGAGCTGAGGAACAGTCTGAGGAGCATAGAGTGGGACCTCGAGGACCTTGAGGAGACTGTGGATATCCTTTGATGATCTGTACTGTGTTATTTATGTTGAATAAGTAGGTTTACTATAATGCTGATGAAATGGAGACATGTTGCTATTTAGTTATCATGTCATATTCCATTCAGAAATATCTGAGATTACACATAACCAGTACCTAATGTTTGAAATTTAATGCTCAACTGTCATTTACTTTTGAGACTCAAATTTATACATTTTTCATGTCCCACAAAGTGCAGGATTCTTATTTTGTTTTAGATATCCACTCTCATCAGAGATAAAATCTAAATGTTGTCTCATTTTGTTACATTGCAATGGCCATTTTGAAAATGTCATTCAGGCCTCAGGTATTTTAACTAGTCCAGCTATAACCACTAAAATTTGATATTAGATGTTGATTATAAATTATTAATTATAGACAATGCATGAATAACATGCTTATACATTATATACATGTGACATTATACAAAAACAAGTTAAAACGATATACAATGAAAGGCTTTTTTAGACATGAATCTTAGAGCAAGGCCATGTACCGGTAGGTCTTGATATTTTGTTTGGAATAATTTGAGGTCAATGAAAGAATACTTGTATATTTATAAAAAAAAAAAAAAAAAAAAACAACACGTTTTTTGGAAATTCCAGTTACTTACTAAAATTGGAATTTTCAACTTTAAATAGAAAGCATATTTTGATATGTTTGCTATATTTAATATACAATTGATTGTTTATATTAACCTTGACTCCACAACGGATTGTTGAGAGAAACCCCAGAAAGTTCAAAATTGATCAAGATGAGCTCCATGAAAGAAGGGCATTCATAGACAGAAGTAAAGCTATAGTCAAGGTAAGTAGTTATTTTAACTAATTCACAAAAATCTAGTAAGTTAGTACTATAATTTTTCCATCAACAATATTTAGACTAAAGACAATTCAAACAATAAAGTTATATAGAAAGTTGTATTAATGAATAGTATCAAGATAATGAATAGTTCTCATTAAAAACTAACATTATTAATTCATACCCTTCTAAATTATATATATACATTCATATGTTTAACAATGACAGTTTTATATGGACAAAAATTTGATTTTGTTTCAAACATGTTTTAAAATTAAATTTGATTATTTTTTTAGAGAATGAAAGAAGATTTGGCAAGTCCTCAGACAAAAGATAAGGATGACGGAAATGTACGACAGGTATGTAATAAACAATATCACTTGTTTTAATAAAATGTAAAATTCACATTGAATGTTCGATCCAATACTTGGTGCACATATATCCTTAAAGTTATGACAATTCACAAAATATGCAATTAATATACATGTGTTTCATTTAATTTACATGTAATTTACAATGTGTATGAGATGTTTTGTAGGCTCTGTTAAATGGACAAAGTAAGCAGTATGACAAATACACCCGACTGGACCAAGAAATGGAGAGATCTAACCAAAGATACTTAGAGGATAGCCACCAACAGCAACAGGTATTAAAGTTAAAGCTTTATCTGAAACAATTTATGCATTAAGTTTGTTTTTGTATATAACAGCCATAGTTATGATTAGGCTAACTTTAAAATGAAGTTGTTTGCTGTCTTCCAACCCAGGATGTAAAAATGGGTTGATAGGCAGGTGGTTATAACTTTTTTCCTCAAGAATTTTGACACCCATGCTGAATTTTAAAAAATGTCTTCCTGAATGCACAATTAAAAAATAATAATTTCTTGGAGGCTAAAACAGTTAGCAAGGTTAGTTTGGCCAGTGTTAGCCTGTCTGTCAGGAGATGTCAACCAAACAAGTTTTTAAAGATGGCCAGCATGGCCTTATATCAAAATAATAAATAGGCGTAAAACATAAAGTAGTTAAAAAACTTAAAAAAGTGTATATTGCAACATGTCTTATAAATTTTGTATTGATATTCCAATTTTGAAATAAGATAAGCTTACTTTTGTTGAAATATGTCTTTAACAATTTTTGCATCATTGTGAAATTTTGGAGCTTAAATCATTGCAGAGCTAAATGTAGCTACTCATAGAAATACAAATGCAATTTTAAGAGGAAGGTCTAGGATGAAAAAAAGTGTTTTTATTAAAATGAATTTGTTATTAGAATATGCATTTTATAATTTGCAGACGATAATAAAAACACAAGATGACCAGTTGGACATGATAGGATCTAGTGTAGGAGTGCTGAAGAATATGAGTCACCAAATAGGCAATGAACTGGAGGAACAAAATCTGTAAGTATGGTCAAAGTGTCTCATTAAATAAGGATTTCTCATTTTTATATGGCTTCAATTCAAAATTCAAACAACAATAAAGGGAAAAACCAGATTTGTTTGATTGTTGTTTAAATATCCCTTGGAGAATTTTTCATTCATATGGAGATGCCACCACTTGCCATTGGAGGGCTCCTTTAGACCTGTGTCTGGCATTTAGGGTATATGAGCTGTGAGGGGTCAATGTTTCAAATTTAAAGTTTGATCTCTATCTGACCTTGATATCAGTTAATCAATATCTTAAAGGGTAGTCTGGTAAAAGAATTGAATTTGATGTAAAGACTGTTATTTTTGGTAGTTTTGAAAAAGATCATGTAGCTATAAACTTGATTATTCCATTAGTGAAGAAATACTTATTTCAGCAATCCAGAAACAACTCTTGTATTGTTTTCAAAGATATTTTGAGAGTTTTGTATAATTACTATACTTTAGAAGAAAAACTGTCAGAAAATATTTTTTATAAAAAAAGATGGTCCAATTGGAAATATCTATTTAATGTGTCAAATTTTGAAAATGTTCTTGACTAATTATTGTTAATATACATTGTACTTATTGTCTTCTTTTCCAACATGTATGAAAGGATGTGTGAAAGGTTTTGTATATTTGTGTGTTTGTTATGAAAATAAATAAAAAATATATATATCTTAAAGGGTAACCGTGTATCAAATTTGATATCTGTCTAGCAAAGGGTTCTCAAGATATCTTCCTAATGTCCAATTTGGCCTTGACTGCTGATGTGATTTTGTGATTTCTAAATCATTAGAGGTCATCTACCTTTAAGAGGGAACAAGTATACCAAGTTTGATGCCAGTTAAACAAAGGGTACTCGAGATGTTGAGCAGTCAATTTGTTTTTAAGTCCAGCTTGACCATTAACCTTTGACTTGAAACTTGAAAAAAAAATCATAGGGGTCTGAACAAAGTTTGATTTCAGTTGAGGAAAGGGATTTCAAGATATTGAGTGGGCAATATAGTCATTAGGGTTATTTGGCCATTGTCAAAAGTAAACAAAAAAAAAATCAAAGATATCACATACTAGTTCTTTCTCTAGCATTGTTGAAGGTTTATTATCGTTTTACTAACAGCGTGACAGTTTGCTTGATGAGGCGTGCTAAAATTTTGTATGCTGATTATCATTTTACTCATTGATTGGATGTTTGATTTCAATGGAATCAATAATACTTTGCATATGAAACACAGAACCCAGCAATACCACTGACAACACTGACCAATCGCATGGAATAAACAACAATTATAAGTGAACGGACAAAGCAAGTTTTACTTCCTATAATGATGATATTGATAGCTACATAGTACAACAGTAGCAGAGTAGCCTTACCAATTCCATTTTGTAAGTTTTCTTATGTATACATGTTAATTATACATATTTAAAAACCCATCCGGACAAATCACCACAAATTTAATACCGGTACATGCTTTTTTGAGGACAGAAAACGGGCTTTGACTGACCACGTGTTGGTCCTGACCAAATGCTGTACTGGGAAACAATCATTCAATGTGATTGGCCAGTTTTATCGGGGTATTGTTGTATTCCGAGTTTCATATGCAAATTAGTATTGATTTCATTGATCCAATCGATGAGTAAAATGATAACCAGCACACAAAATGTTAGCACGCCCCATCAAGCAAACTGTCACGCTGTTTGTAAAATGATAATATAGTCTTTTGAATTATTAAGTTAAACTAAAGCTGCATTTTAAATTGTATATCTTGGATATAATGACAGATGAGTTGTTTTTACATGTTTAATATGCAATCATTCTAAACAATATTTAATTATTTTAGAATTTTAGATGAATTTGGTCATGAAATGGACAACACAGAATCCAGAATGGACTCCACAATGAAGAAAATGGCCAAAGTGATGCACATGTCAAATGGTTTGTCAGCAATCTAAAGTTTTACATCTTTTATTGTTACTAATAAAATCCAAGCTTCCTTTTTATGGGGAAAAATATGCATATGTATGATTATATTGATCAAGAAAAATCAGAATTTGTGTGTATAAATTTCATACTGGTAAATGACAAGATATTTTTTTTTCTATTGCAGACAGAAGACAGTGGTGTGCTATAGGAGTTTTACTAGTCATACTGTTAATAATAATTATACTGTTTATGGTGTTATGATGTCAAGACCACACATTTTGATCAGTCATAATAATTCTATACATAGTGTTATGATGTCAAGACTACACATTTTGATTTGTCATAATGATTATACACATGGTGTTATGATGTAAAGACCAAATACTTTGTTAAGCCATTAACTTGCATCATGATGTATTTAGTACCGTACAATGCGCAGTTAACCTTGGGCTTTAAGTAAAACCTAACATTTTGGACATTACATAATTACCGTTTGAATTTTACACAGCTTTTACTCACTGAAAATACATGGGACAGAAATTTGGCAAAAGTCAACAAGTGTAGAAATTAACCAATACACGTTTTGTGTGGCAAAGAGGTGGGACTTAAGTCTTCTCATCATTGTCAACAACAATTTAAAGTTCCTGATGTTATTAATTTCTTAACCAATGAGAATCTATTCACAGATGCTTGTTACATAGCCCAGATAATGCCATGCCTGACTGAAAGTTCAAGGTTAACTGAGAATTCTAAAGTGTATCTCACATATACACCACGATGTAAAGACCAAATATTTTGATACGAACTTGCATCTTGACATTCTTTAAGTGAATGTGACTAACACAACGTGATTATATCCCACCACATACTGGTTTCCAGGGTACCTACTGCCAATAATCACTCTTCTGCCAAATCACTTTCTTCCCTTTGTTAAATTTTCATCTTGGTCTTGATTGGTTTGTTCTGTATGTTTTGCTCGATTTCTGACAAATTTATGTAGATTTGTCTATCTTCTGTTATACAAAATTGCAGGGAATAAATCCATCTTAACAAGCAGAAAACCCTTCCTCTGTGTTCAATTTGAGAAAATTTTAAGTTAAATTGCCCTCTTTAATATAACATTTATGAATTTAATTACAAAAATGAAATTATATTTTCAAGCATTTTATTTTCATATCTCTTCTATTTACTTGATTATTTTAGAAGCAGAAATTTTCAGTAGTGTTTTTTAAAATTCTTTTTGTTTATTTGAGAGGATGGTGTTCTTATTAAAAAAAAAACTTCTGAAAATATATACATGTACATGTAAAGTTTAATTCTGCTTCTATCATGTACATGTACATCATTTCTAGAAAGAGGTTTGCTTTAATTTAGTTATTAGTTTAGTTTCAGAGATAATTTTGCTGGAAGTTTTGAGAAGGAAGTTTTGTTTTTTCTCTTATTTGATCTGATTTGTTATTCCACCATTGTTTATAAAAGTACAGGATTATTAGATCCGATGATTGTGTCACTTAATTATGCTGTGTGTACTTGTCTCCATTTTGGTAAATTAATTAATGTCAGAGAGGTTAAGAGTTTTATAGTGAAAAGTTAAAATTAGGTTTATATAATGTTATTCAATACTTCCATGATTTTTGTGTAGACTGTTTATTTTCTCTCAGTGTTTAAATGTATGAATAAGGAAAAAAAAGCTTATTCTGTAGAAAATTTTTATTGGTGTTATTTTTTATTCTTTTGGAGACAACCACTTCAATAACATGATATGTTTCACAAAACATTTTTGTACTCATAAACATTGTAAACTGGTTAATTTTAAAGAATAAGTGCAAGAACCTGTTATCAATAAATTTGTAATGTGTTGAAAATGGGAATTTTCTAAAATACACATAGCATAGCCTGATGATTGGGTTTTGCTTTGCTATCATTTCAAATTTTTTTTCTTTGTAAATTCATTGTACGCACAAAGAGACAATTATGTTTCCCTCAATGCCATGTTAATATCTGTCCTTGAGCCAGATTTTCCTAGAAATACCCCAGTATCTGTAAGTAAGAACTTAGCACAGCATGTTTACAAACAATTGTAACAAGGAAACATTTTTTTATTTAAAACTCTCAAAGTCCTCTTATTTCATATTTATTTTGAGAAACACTTAATGGTTAATGTGTATTGATTTCAATATGTTATGATGCTTAATCTTAGTTTGACCTAAAAAATGAATGAAGAATTAAAGTAGATTTTATAATTAGCAGAGACAATAACAGTTAAAAAAGTACATGATTACTAATCCTCACAACCAACAAATTTCAAGAGATCCCGTTGTAGATACTGTAAATGTTATATTTAGCATGTACAATATTTGGCGGAAATTGATTTTTGAACAAGTTAGCGTAGATTTGATTTAGTGCATTCCTCAGTGTTCCTATTTATGTGAATATGTTCAAGACATTTAGCGTTGTACTTGAATTAGCGGAAGTTTCACTCCACCAAAAATGCTAAAAAGAATACACAGCCAGATGTAATATGTTTCCAGTAATAGAACAGGCTCATTAGATATACTAAACATATCATGCTTTTATAACAGTTTAGAATTCTAGAATTGTTTTCAGTTAAATGTTTTTTCCTTCATTTAGAAATACTTATGCTTTCTGGATATCTTTCTGTACTTTATGCTCTGTCTGATGTTTCTGTTGCTTATGATGGTTGCCATGAATTCGTGAACAAGAGTTTTTGTTTATATTTACTTGCTGATGTGATTACTTTCTGCATACATGTATAGGTTATGTTGAAATATGTTGTTAAAACATTTGCATGTTATTTATATGTTGTTATTTCAGATATTTTAAATCTTCCATTGAGAATCATTGTACACTGCATTTAAGGAAATATTTTGTAGAATAAACAAAAACATATGCTTTCTTTGTTCTTGTGATTTTATTAGCTCAAATTAGCTTTTCTAATCTTATTTTGTTTGTATTCTGTTGGTCAGTCTAAATAAGATTATATTTATATAAAGTTGGGTAAATCAACATAAAACATTAGCTCTGAAGAGAGCTATTTCCTGACTGTAATGTTTTATCATTACTTATTTACTTGTTGTCAAGAATCAGTGGACCAGTATCAATTAAACATGTCACAAAGCATTCTTGGGTCAAGGGAATATAAGTTTGTTCACATGAAGGGCAATCAAAGGGGAGAAAATAAAAGAACTGGTGAAAATTTGTGGTTATAATCCTTTAAAAAGGATATTCTTATGAACAAACAAAAAGATGAATCTTGAATGAGAACTTCATTATATAGAGTAGAATTTAAATTTGTTGAAATCTTGCATCTTCAGTAGATGCAAGTTTGTTCATACCAAGCCCTGCTCCCCTTGGGTAGGTTGGTACCACTTATATTTAAACCAGTCCACTGGGGTAGGTTCGTACCACTTATATTTATACTTTCAATTCTTAATTTCTGTTGCCAGAAATAACTGTTCAGATAACAATGTTGCTTTTGGCCTGTTGTTGATATTTTTTTAATACCAGACACATGTTGACTTTTCAGTTTCGCTAGGTTTCACAATTTGGAAATTATGGGCTTTCAATCATTTTTTAACGATTTTTTTACTGTTCTATACTCTCTAGATATCCCCATTATAGCAATATTCATAACTTCATAATGATGACTGGTTCTCAGTTAGTCAGCCTTCAACATTCTAAATAAACTTCTTTCATATTGTCAGCTTTAATCTAATGAATTTGAATATTTTGCCATATTGTCTTGATGTTTTGAACATTTTCCATTAGTAATTTTTGAGCTTAACCCGGAGCAAGTTTTAACTTAGAACTTGTGTCCAAAGTTTATTCCGATTAAAATCTAGAATTTGCAGTAAGCTAGAGTAGATGAAGTAATCCAATTTATATTTTTATTACACAATAAAACATGTTCAAAATCAAAACAGGGTAGATAAAGGAAATTAATTAAGTATGAACATTATGTAATATTTAGACTTTTTACCGAAACAATTGATAATGCTCACAAATTCCACTAACAACAAATACTCGGAATTCATTCTTAGCGTGGTGAATTTTAATTTTTTTCCCCATTTTATTTTTACCACCAAAATTATGTAACCCCATTAAAAGACGATATAAAGTTATATAACTAAAATGAAACGATAACACGCATCTCACAATGTAAATTCAAAAGGTTACGTAGTACTAGTATTTTTTCCAAAATTTTCGCTACAAAAAATTCTTATCCCGACCTTTTGTGATCTTATCTACAGATATTCTTTCAGTCAAGAAAAGTAAATCAGACACTGTAAACGCTTTATTTTCAGAAGCTAACTGTTGAGAAACTACCAAATTTTGTTGCTTTACTAATAGAAGAAACAAGTATTTTTTTAATTCAATTAATTTTTTTAAATTATTTTAATTCTTTTTCTATATCAGATAAAAACTTAGGAACTTCTCTAGTATTTATAACCTTATAACTGAGTCTGATTTATCAGATTATGGACACAATTTACATCTGTTAGATATGAAGGACATACGTAATGCGAAGTAAGGAGTTGAGCCTTACGTCGCGGGTTCGAATCCTACTAAGAACGTGGATACGAGTCCTTCGGATGAAACTGTTTGAACCGTGGTTTCGTTTCGCACTAGGTACCGACTGGAAAAGCTCCCTTACTGATCAATGGCTCTATGAGCGAGTATAGGCTCAAAATTATCAGCTCTTAGCCATTGGCGTGTCCATATGAGTGAAAAATTCTCGAGGGACGTTCAAGAGCCTGCAAACAAACATACAATACGGGGCAGCACTGTTTTAGAAAGGCGTCTTACTATACCGAGGTATGCCAATGACAATTAAACATATGGAGATAACGAAAAGCTAGCATTCAAGATCAAAAGTCCATAAAGCATTACAAAATAGGAGCAGCGCAAACACGGATCTCCAAACATTCGAGGTGGGATCAGGTGCCATGGAGGAGTAAACATTTTCCTGCCGACCGGTCACACCCGCCGTGTGCTCCTTGTCATGATTGGGAAATAATGGGAACAAAAATTGTCGTCAATTCAGTGTTACTATATAAATAATGGACTAACAATCAATATGAAAAACGCCAGTCAGCATTTGATTCAATGATAAACTGTATTTGCTGACAAGGTCATTGTATCGACCATAGAACTTACAAAATGATGACTTTAAACTTGTTTGTCAACAATTTACCTCGTTTTAGAAATTGTTCATACATATAGAGCATGCTCTTGTGAATCGAATTAAGTGAGATATATAAACTCCGTATGCAGGTGATGAATTTAAGGTACTGAATATATTGCTGCACAAGTAACGAGAAGTCGACGATTGAAAAGTTCAAGTCATCACGTTTATCATAGTCATAGAGCATGGTTGTTATATTGCCATTAACATCTTTTTCAATAAAATATCCAAATATAAAACATATGTGTTTGACTCTGTTGTATCTTTCATCTCAAACTCACCAGGCCTCGAGACCATAAACTGAGAACAGAATTATGTCAAAATTTTGATTTTGAATATCTTGTGATTTAAAATATATAACTTCTTTAAAAATTGCAGGTTTGTATAATATATTCCAATTCTTAAGTTTATTCTCAGTTTATGGTCTTGGGTTCAGGATATATCGTATCGACATAAGAATGGAAATTACCAAGTTAACTGACAATACGTCGATATAACTAAATGTCGAGTTAAAGGCCACAACAAGTGCTTTCTTCTTTTCACGCATAAGATTTTGCACAACTTTTGCTTCATATGAATACATACAAGAGGCCCATGGGCCATATCGCTCACCTGAGAAGCTTTGACCATGCTATTCTTAACCAGATTTTTCCCTTGTGACCTATTGTGACCCCATCGTACCCCATGGGTCATAATTTGGATAATTAAAAATCTACACTACTCAAGGAATCGCTTCAACAATTACATAAATTTCAGCTGTATATTTCTATGTAAAACTTTGATTCCCTATTGTGGCCCCGCCCAACCCCCGGGGGTCAGGATCTGAACAATTGAGAATCTGCACTACCCAAGGATACTTCCACATAAGTTTCAGCTTTTCTGGCCCAGTGGTTCTTGAGAAGATTTAAAAGTTTTTTCCTATATATTTCTTTGTAAAACTTTGATTCCCTATTGCGGCCCCAACCAACCCCCGGGGGTCATGAGTTGAACATTTAGAATCTACACTACCCCGGGATACTTCCACATAAGTTTCAGCTTTTCTGGCCCAGTGGTTCTTGAGAAAAGATTTTTAAAGTTTTTTCCTATATATTTCTATGTAAAACTTTGATTCCCTATTGTGGCCCCGCCCAACCCCCGGGGGTCAGGATTTGAAGAATTTAGAATTTACACTACCCAAGGATACTTCCACATAAGTTTCAGCTTTTCTGGCCCAGTGATTCTTGAGAAGAAGATTTTTAAAGATTTTTTTGTAAAACTTTGATTCCTTATTGCAGCCCCACCCAACCCCAGGGTGTCATGATTTTAACAATTTAGACTCTACACTACCCAAGAATACTTCCACATAAGTTTCAGCTTTTCTGGCCCAGTGGTTCTTGAGAAGAAGATTCTTAAAATTTTGTCCTATATATTTCTATGTAAAACTTTGATTCCCTATTGTGGCCCCGCTCAACCCCCGGGGGTCATGATTTGAAGAATTTAGAATCTACACTACCCCAGGATATTTTCACATAAGTTTCAGTTTTTCTGGCCCAGTGGTTCTGGAGAAGAAGTTTTTTTAATGACAACACCCTATTATTGTCTTTTCTTGATTATCTCCCCTTGTGAGAGAACCTGGCCCTTAATTTTAACAATTTATATTTCCCTTCATCCAACGACGCTTTGTACCAAGTTTGGTTAAAATTGGCTCAGTGGTTCCTGAAAAGAAGTCGAAAATGTGAAAAGTTTACAGCGGACAGACAGACGGACGGACGACGGACAAAATGTGATCAGAAAAGCTCACTTGAACCTTCAGCTCAGGTGAGCTAAAAAGGTTCGCATTGAAATAAGTTTGTCAGAAGGATTCTATGAATGTTGTTACATTAAACGAAAAAAAAACTAAATGTATATTTAGAAAGGCTTTAAAGCCCATTAAAAAATTACTTAATTATAAAAAGCATCGTGTTCGAAATATTTCCTACATATACATATCCCATTATATTTCTAGTTTTTTTCCTTCATTTATTTTGCATATTCTAATTAGCGTGGGAAAATCATATAGAAACAATGAAAAATACATCTTAAATATATCTAGCCTTACAAATATATTCTACATAACAATGACAAACGGTTTCAAAGGTGTGGCCCAGTTTTATGGTTAAGAATAATGAATAGAATATTATTTTTACTGGGATGTATCTGTTCCCTTACTTGGATGTAACGTACTGTTCTCTCACTGAGATGTAATTGTTCTTACACTGAGATGTAATTGTTCTAAGATGTTATTAATTGTTCCTACACTGAGATGTAATTGTTCTTACACTGAGATGTAATTGTTCTTACACTGAGATGTAATTGTTCTAAGATGTAATTAATTGTTCCTACACTGAGAGATTAATTAATTGTTCTTACACTGAGATGTAATTGTTCTTACACTGAGATGTCATTGTTCTTACACATGGAAGTAATCGTTCTCTCATTTGAAATATAATTGTTCTCCTACTTCAATATGGTTGTTCCCCTACATGGATGTAATTGTTCTCTCACTGGGATGTCAGTTGTTCTCTTATTGAGATGTCCTTTACGGATACGAGGGCTGTTCAATAAATAATGTCATTAGCTCGATGACATACAACATAGATATCATATAACATTAAGCTTGACATTCTCTCATTATTGAATCTTTATTGAATTGATATCACTGTGACCACTTTTTATCACATAGTTTCATTGTGGGAAGCTGGAAAACAAGGGCTATACGAGACACTGAATTAAAAATGAATGGCCAAGAATCAGTATACCAAGTGAAATTTAACACTTCATTAAAACTGCTGTAAAAATTGTTAATACCCCAAAAAATATATTAACTGAAATATGTGAAATTTACAGCAACCAATGTCTGTTTTATATACACATGAACAGGTGGATTTCAATGAACAAAAATGATATAATGGGCATCAAAATTGACACCATCCTTGGCGACAAGGACATACAACAACCATGCGATGTATATTTGCAAAAAGTCAACAAATTATCACTGATTATGTTTTATTGACTTTAAGACACATAACAAATTTGATAGACATCATTCTGGAAATAGTTCACAATGTTTTAAAGAAACATTTGATAGTAAAAAAGTTTAATGCTGAAAGACCATCCTATAATTTGAAAAATGCGTGAAAACGACACCGTGTTGGAATATATACAATTACTTTAAAAATTCAAAAATTGTACTTATCCAAGTTTGTCTGAAATTCAGATAATGAAACTTGAATCCATTCTGCTTTAAACCCTCAAAACAAATTTACAATAGGATGCACTTGACAAAACTGCAAAGGCCTGAGAAGAGCAAAGAATTGCAAGAGCACAGACACTTTTATATGCTATTTTTCTTAAATATTAGTGGTTTTGTTGTTCAAACTCTTATTCAGGAAGGAAGTTCAATTTCTGAAGGAGTCTAGAAAGCAAAATTTTTGCAAAAAATTGAAAGGTTTTTGAGACGAAGGACCCAGAATCAGAAATCCACTACATTAAATTTATTCATGACAGCGTCCAAACCCGCACGCCGTGATGAGTAAAGGGGTTTTTGGGGATAAAAAGAAAGTTAATGTTTTGTCACACCAACAATATTCGCCAGATTATACACCCTTTGACTTGTTTCACTTTCAAACTTGAAAAAAAAACACCTTTCAGAAAAAAAAAAACTAGAGGTACTGTGAGCAATGAACTCACTAAATGATACCCCCCGCCTCCCATATGAATATAATGGCAGTGTCCATGTTTTGCTCTGAAAAATCGAAAATATATGTCAGATCAAAAAGTAAAATAAGAGGTGCACAATGGCAATATGTAATAAAGATTCTGTGAAAGTTTCATTAAATTTCCTTCAGTGGTATGGGAGGAGTTGCGGATAAGAGATGGGTACCCCAAAGCGTAACAGACGGACGGACGTACAGACGGACGGAAATACCGATTACTATATACCCTCCCGCTTTTCAAGCGGGGGGTATAATAAGTCCAGGAAATCATAGGGTCTGCCATATTCCAGTATACGAAAGGACCATACTCAAAATTGTGTTCTAGGACAATTAGAAATTGAATAAAAATGTTACGGACATGTGTGTAGATTAAAAGAGAATATTTTAGTTAAATCATTAAGACTAAACCATAGAAAAGCGTTTTTTTGGTTTCTTTCCGAGCACCGATGACAATATTTATTGCATGAACAGTCCTCGTAATGATGTGTTACTTACTAGTTCCATTTCTTTACTTCCCTCTTTACTAATTCTGAAACCCTTTTTGCGTATTTTTATACATTTTTGAGGAAATGTTAATTTTCTTGGCTTTATCTCATCTTTTTCATTTCTTCGAATAAAATATTTCTTGATTTCATTATAAATATTTTTTAGAGTGTAAAATTTTGAATCTGTCAATCAAGTATGTACATCGAAATTTTGACCCTCATCACATAACTGGTGTAATTTTGGGAAATTGATTTGATATCAAAATACAAATTCCGTGTTTATTTCAGTACTTATAGTAATAATGTTTTGAGAGCCAAGAGGGAAGAAATAAATACATATTTTTTTTTATACAAAACTCAGGACGAAGAAAGTGATATAAAAAGATGAAATCGTGTGAACAATTCTACGTTGTCTTGTTCATCCTATCTTGGGTGAAAGGTAAATCATTAATATTTTATCATTATCTCCAATTAAAAACAAATATTACATATAGTGATTCACAGCTCTTTTTATTTTATTAATTCTTTGGAACACTTGTACTTAAAAAATATGTTCAGAGTGAATACAAATATTTGCATTATTTAAAAAAAATACTAACTTCTAGCAGTTAGTTATTTCAAAAGCAGTATGTTCATAAAACCAAAATTATCATTATTATTTTCTCAATAAAATTTACACATATCATTATAATTATGAATCATACACATATATACGAAATCATTACCGCCTAGTCAGAACAGGATCACATGTACAAATATTTTTTCAAAGACCGATCTTGAAAATGACGTGAAATGAACCATATAGTTGCCCATTGTTTTGTTTCTTTGAGTCTTTTGCATATCGTTTTTCAGCGACAGAAAACTAACAAAACAAAACAACAAAATAAAATTTTATAACAGTTTATAAATTTCTTTTTTGTAATAATTATATATTAGTAGTATAATCAAGACGACATGGTCAAAATAGCAAGATCTCACGCGCATGCACGTGCGCTTCACTCTGATTGGCTGAAATTAAAGTCTCAATATCTTTCTCTTTTTTTGTCATAATCCTTTAAAATTTTGAACAAAGCCATACATTACGAAGATCTACAGTATGATATATAAGAATAATCATGAAAGCACGTGCATACAGTGTGCTGCAATCTGATTGGCTGAAACTTTAAATGCCTCTAATTTTCTTGGTTCTGAACAAAACGGGATGCAATTTAGAATATTAATAGGTATAATGGATTCTTACATTATGCTACTATCAAAATTGAATGCAAAGACGTGCATGCACATGCGCATGTGCAAAATGAATAATATACTTGAAAATTCTCAGTATATAAGGATATGTTAATCGTTTAGCCAATATGTCATGATCATCTTGCATATGTATGAACGTGCGCGCGCACGCAAAACGTTAAATGGTATATAGTTGATATCATTGCAACTTTTTATTCTTAAATGAAATCCCTCGATCCTGAGCAAATAAAAAAAGTCTTACAGGAATAAGGCACAAAAAGGAATTTGGGGAGCATTTGGGGAACATCTGTAACGGTCCCCGTTACAATTAACACTAGTTTACAAGTATATTTCTTGTGAAAATTTCTTCTCCTGGACACCGTTAATTTTGAACATTGTCTTTTTATTTTGAAAAACTTTCTAAAAAAAACTTTAACTTTGGCCATAACTTTTGAACGGAACTAAGTGTTTATGGCTTTCATTTCTCATAAGTGTATTTCTTGTGAAAAGACTATTTTCTTGATACTTACAGTTTTGACTTATTGTTCTTGATCTTGTAGTTTGACCTTCTTTTGAAAAAAAAAAGTAATTTTCACATTTGCATATCTTTTGACAAGCCCTTCCCTTGCAACTGGACACCATTTATTGTGAAACACTTGATATGATCCTTTGACCTTGGAGATTGACTTATCTTTTTTTAACCTTAATTATAAAACAATTGGAGTTAGGACTTTCAAATTTTACAAGGTATTCCTTTTGGTAAGACCGTTTTTTTCGGTACAAATATTTTTTTTTTATCTCTGTACATTGACCTTGGAGTTTGTCTTGCATTCGACAAAGTTGCCATGAGCCATCTTAGTGGAACCTCATTGTTTCGCAAACGTATCCTATTTATATGTTAAATTATGATTGTGTTTATCTTTGTCTACAGGGTCGTTTGCATCAAAAGTTGACTGGATTACAGCATCTAAGGATTGTAATGCAAAATATGAGTCGCAGTTGATACCACGAAGCTACATCGAGGGCAAAAATCTTCATAATGATGTCGTCGAAGGCATTGGCGTGAACGTTTCAGCCTGGATTGATGGAAAAATTCAAAGGATTGGGTGTGATCAGGGTATAGATAACAATAGATAATTTAAAAAAAAAACTACACAAAAATCCATTTCATTTGAAAACATTTATTTGACTAGTTCTTTTTACTTTTTTCAGTAAAATGTCTTCAGATAAAAAGGTTAAATGAGCAGCAAGACAGAAAACTGCCATTCATTTGTGGTAATTCTTATTGTCCTTATTCAGATTAATTAAGCTGATCAAAATCAATTGCATCTGTAATTGAAGAGTAAGTAATAAAGCCTTGTTGTTTTTATTTCTTTTTAATCATTAAAGTTCAATTTTTTGTAACAAAATCTATTAGTAGTTCAAAGCAGCTACCAAACCACCTGTAAAATATGTCTCTTTCTCTTAAATAACATATCAGTATAGTTAGGACAACACATTGTTTCTGGTTAACTATTTTAATTGTCTGGGCATTTTCACGGAGATGTATCACGTAATTTTATTTTTTTTTAACTTTAGTGACTTCAGGGGACATTGAGGGTAACTTGACGGAGGTGTCATACACGGAGTCCAGAGAATTGTGCGGTTCTGCCCAGTTTAGAGTAGAAGGTCCCTTACAAAAGTACGCAATGTTCTCAGTTCTACATAAATTTCTTCCTTCACCCAAACCGTTCGCGGCATTTTGGCTTCCAAACGCTGAACTGAGCGACATTGAAGGTATTTGAAAATGGATTAATTACCAGACTTTACGTACAAGTACTAATATTAAGATATAAGATATATTGCCTTTAACAAATCGAAATGTGTGTCAAAAATAAGTTTTTGAATTGAAATACGTATAAACACACCAATTTATATCAAACTCTTACTTTAAAGCTGTATTTTTAGATCAGCAATATTGAGTTTTCTTTAAAATTTTCGTCCAAATAACAGATACCTTCTGCACATATGTTGTGTCTAGAAACAATGAAACAGTGGAAACGAAGTCCGACAACTGCAGTGCTCCAAAAATGGGAGTTTGTATCAACACAACATGTAAATTATTTATTATCCAGACATATTTATAATCCTTATAAAATAATTGTTATTTATTTGTTTTAAGTGATTGATTTACCATAGAAGGGACTACCAATGTTTCACGTGATTGATTTTACCATATAAGGGACTACTAATGTTTTGCATGACTGATTTACCATATAAGGGACTACCGATATTTCACATGATTCATTTTAGATATTACAGACTTCAGAATGTCAGTGATGCTTGAAATGACTGCGAAGCAGTGGCCACCAATGAAAGGAGATGAGGTCATATGGGCCATGAAAAGTACGTGTCGATAGCTTGAGATGATATCATCATAAGATTAATTTTCTAACAAATCTACAAAGCTGTAGCTATGACTTAGGTCATCTTAGTAAAGCAATACCCTTATTTTACGGCAAATTAAAAATGTGAATAAATTTATAAATTAAAAGATGGCACGATACACGAAACAGAACATGGGATTGTAATTGTAGGTCACAAGAAAAAACTACAGACCGTAAGGACCTCAACTGACAAGGATAACGCAGTTCCTGGTGTGTCAGGTTTATGTTACTATAGAAAAATTAGGAATCTACACGATTTTTGAATGTAAATCTCTCTCTCTCTCTCTCTCTAACAAACACACATGTCCACTAACCACCTACAGACACAGAGTATGACATGGAATACATAAAATTACCGGTATATGCATTGCATTGCTTAGCAGATTATTCATATAAGCAATGACAAGAACTAATTATGAAATGTATCTAAGATGTATCTAAGTATACAAATAAATTATAATAATTCAAAAGAATGACATTCATAATTTTTTATAGAGCATTCAATTTCCTTGAACTTGTACCGGTATATCCTGTAAATGATCAAGCTGATTTTTAATTTTTAGCTGTTTCCGTCTCATTAGCACTCAGCGCTTTAAGTTTGTTTCTGGTTGTGTTGTTTATGTGCATCAGCATACTTCTCTGGAAAAGGTTCGTTATCTGATTAAGACAGATGATACAAACAAACTTTTGTCAAAGAATTTGAAAATAACAACATGGGTCATGTTTAAATGAGTAAAATGAATAACTTTCACAGCGTAGTTTTTATTTTTTTTATTCAAATTTGCACAAAAATGGAATTTGAAGTGAAAAATATTTGGATAGATTAATAAGGATGGTTTCAGAAGGGCAGACTTTTGAACATCACAGAAGCTTTACAATTTCTTTATATTCTAGAACTTTTTTATTTGCATCATTTGCAATGATATTAGGCAAAAAAAATATATACCAATCCAGGCATCCATTTTTTTGTTTGTGTCATCTGTCCTCAAAATGAAAATTATGTACAACGGAAATGTCCCATTTCTGAAAATTATATACAAAGGAAATGTTCAGAATTAGAATCAAGCAAGTACTGTTAAGAAAAAAAAAAGAAAAGCATTCAAAATATGAAGACATACATAAAATACAAATCCTATTTTTTCATTTCTAATTTTATCTTTTTATGCATGTTTTTATTTATTTAAAATATTAATCTTTCAATAAATGCAAAAAATTTCCTTTCAGGGTATCATCAAAATTGAACGTTTTCTTGAATGAAAATCGAAGCACTGATGCGGGAAATGAAATAAAAAGCGAGTCAAATGAGAGAAAAAATAAGAAGAAAGCATGCACGTATGAGGTTCTTCCCCAAAACACACATGGCCATTCTACTCGCGTTAAAAATCTACCGATGGAGCAGGAAAACCCATACAGCGAGATAACAAAAAGACGAGAGTCTGGTTACCATAACAACCCTGGAACGTCAGGGCAAACAGTAGAGACGATTTTGCTAGAGAACTGATATTTAAAAGTGTACTGTTTCGTGTTAATATCCTTCCTTAATTCATTTTTAGAGAGAGAGAGGGAGGGGGAGAGCATTAAAATTTATTCATTTTTTACCATTTTTCATTATTGCATGTTGTATTTTTTTTCTTTATACGTAAATGTTCGAATTATATATCATATTACTATTCCTCTTTTGGATCAATATCTTGTACCAAATGTTCCGTTGCACCTATGTTTCAATCATATGAAATCCAGTTTTGTACACGATAATGCATTTTCCAACTTTTTACTCCTACATACGTTTCATTTGTATACTTTGTAGCTGTACGCGTGTTGCAGTTTATTTTTAGCATACTATATAAATAACATAAAACTGGAATGAGAGAATTCAATATTTATCTTCCTTAGCTTTTACCAGTGTATCTAGCAAATCTCTTCACAACATGCCAAAATATTTCTTTTCAGTCTGCTAATTTAGCATCACAAAAAAGACTTAAAATTTCAAACCCACAAATCTTGAATTCATCTCATATTATGATAACTCTTTTGCAGATATAATGTTGTTAAATTTCAATTTAAAGCATTTTACTCTGTGCAGATAGAAAATTTGTTTAAACTGGAGGCCCTTGGGCCATAAGGGTCACCTGAGTAAAATATCTCGACTCACATTCTTCGTCCTCCAGCATGGCCTCGTCCACACTGGACTGTTTGGAGAGACTGGAGGTTTCTGTGGAGGATTCTGATTGGATACTGAGACCCCACGTGTCCTGTAAGAGGTCATTGTCCTCCTCATAGCTGTCTTCAGAAAAAAACCCTGGGGTTTACTGCCATAATCTATTATACTGACTACATCCATAGTAATTATTTCTCTTCATAATTGTAAATTTCGTTAATCTTTGTTATGAATTTAGCATCTTTCAGTATTGATGAGCTTTATCCATTTAATGCTTCTCGATAGGCTATCACTCGTATGTACATTTTAGATCTTTTAAAACACCATTTGAAATAGAAGTTCCAAGTTATCTTTTTATGCAGCACGAATTTGCCCTTCTAATTTCATGATGAAATGTGGAGATAAAAGTTTAAAAGTATATTTATGAAATTTCTAAATAGCTAACAATGTCAATAATAACATAATTAAACATATATATATTATATTGAGATTATATGCATTTTTCCTTAAAATCCAACAATTTACAATTTGATTTTCAAATAAAGTATCTAATGTTAGTAAAAGAAAAGTGAAAATTCCTATATAAATTCAGTAAATTTTGAAAAGAAGGATAAATTTTACTTGAAAGCATTCGATTCTGTAAACTGCTTTTAGATTTTGATATATACATTTGTGCATGTGTGTGCAAAAATTCCAAAGATATATCTGCCGACCTAACTATTTTAAAATAAAATGAATATGACTTCCAGGAATTGCACCAAGTGTTTTTTTTTTTTTTGTGGTGAGATGCTGTGCAATGTAATTGAACAATACGTACTTGTATCTGTGAAACGCCATTAGCAATCTACGGATATAAGACGCAGAACTAAAACTTTTATAGTAATTGTGATTTAAAAGTACCGATTGAGGAATAACACTAATTTAAGACTACTGCATACGAATAATCTTTTTTTCCCCAATATATAATTAAAGGTACTTGGACACAGATTTGAAGTTATTATTTTCTCTATAATATTACGACTTATATATTTTTATAGCATTTCACACAAAAATTAATTAAAAATCTTATTTCGTTTAAAAGATATTGAAATTTCAATTTTTTCGGCGGGTTTGATTGACATATCCTTGCACTCTCACAAATTCAATTTTATTCTTAATCCTTAGGAAAAGTGGCAATCTCGTTTTGTATAAATGAAAAACATTAATACTATAATCCAGAAAATTCAGAGTAGACACGTTCGAAAGCAAAACAAACACACAATATATTGTCAGTCCGTGCAGTTGTGGTAAGCAGACTGTGACGATTGAACGCACCCGGTGAATTCTAAATATAAACAATAACAGAACTCGAGCCCTGTTTACAAAAACTGTGTACATAACACGAGTGTCCTCGATTTGCTAAACTCTGTACGCATCTCTTAGTTCGGAATGACGATACTTGTGAAGGTGTTTTGCTTTCGAACATTTCTATTCTGAATAAAATTATTTTTCTTGATAAAAGTTTTAATATTTCTCATTAAAACACATCAAAATTGCCACTTTTCCTAAGGATTAAGAATAAAGTTAAAATTTGTGAAAGTGCAAGGATGTGTCAATCAAACCCGCCAAAAAATTTAAAGTTTTAATAACTTTTCTATGAAATAAGATTTTTAATTAATTTTTGTGTGAAATGCTATAAAAATATATAATTCGTGATATTATACAGAAAAAATGAGAAAATATTAACTTCAAATCTGTGTCCAAGTACCTTTAAGCAGAATGGGTAAAATGATCTTATATGTCCAGAAAAGCAAATAAAAAATGTTGGTCTGTGATGTTACTTTTAGATATTACTGGAATGGTGCTAATTTTAAGCTTAAATCGTGCTTCTTTCCCCCAGGACTTTCAAATTATATTTTGTGAAATTCAAATATTTTATATTTGCTATACCGGTATATTTCAAATGAAATGATCAAATTAATGATTAATCTAAATTATAATTTAAGACCAACATGCAACTTTTCACTGCACAAATTAACTCTTTGTGCAGGCTGCATGTTAAAAAGAATCCAATTGAACAATATTGTAAATACTTCTAAAGAGAAAAATTAACCATTTTCTCTTAAAAAAAATCTTCCGTCACAAAAAATAGTTCCTCACTAAATGTTTTCCCTATGGAAATAAATCATGCGGGTTTCACTGAATATAGCTTTATTAGCATTGTAGAATTTTTATTTGCAAGAACAAAAATCATTATGTAGACTTTTTACATAAATGTCAAGAAAAACGTCTGCTCAAAAGTTGAAGATAAAACCTCTTTGAAATATTAATAATATTACATGAAAAAAAACCCCCGAAAACTAAATGTCTATTTAATGCTTCTCGATAGCCTATCACTCATCTGTACATTTTACATCTTTAAAACACCATTTGAAATAAAAATGGTAAATTATCTTTTATGCAGCACGAATAATTATGTCCTTCTAATTTCGTGAATTTGTGGAGATAATGAACAGTAATCAACTTCAGAAGTCCATTGAAACAATTCAAATTTGGAACAGAACAAACAAGGATATCTAAAAACATCAGAGGTGGGATAAAGTAAACATCCCCTGCTGACCGATCAACTACACCAGAGGTGGGATAAAGTAAGCAGACCCTACTGACCAATCAACTACTACAGAGGTGGGATAAAGTAAGCAGACCCTACTGACCAATCAACTACATCAGAGGTGGGATAAAGTAAGCAGACCCTACTGACCAATCAACTACATCAGAGGTGGGATAAAGTAAGCAGACCCTACTGACCAATCAACTACTACAGAGGTGGGATAAAGTAAGCAGACCCTACTGACCAATCAACTACTACAGAGGTGGGATAAAGTAAGCAGACCCTACTGACCAATCAACTACTACAGAGGTGGGATAAAGTAAGCAGACCCTACTGATCAATCAACTACTACAGAGGTGGGATAAAGTAAACATCCCCTGCTGACCCATCAACTACATTGATATACTTAGTATTTCATCACTCGGTTTTAAGTAGCTTGTCTTGTTTTAGAAATTGTGCGTACTTAGAGTCTGCTTATGAGAAAAGAATCAAATAGAAAACTTAAACTCTAAATGTAGTTTATGAGGGTATATTACTACATAAATAAGGGGAAGTTCATGGCAGAAAATCTGAAGTCTTCACGTTTTCATAAAGGTTTGTTCCAGGTTGCCAATAACGTCTTTTCTATAGTGAAATATTCAAATACCAATATGAAAAAATGTACTCAGTCTCTGTGATATTTTTTAATTTGAGTACAGGGAGACAATTTGATTTTGTATGAATGAAAATAGTTATTGTTAGTTTTTAAAACTTGGTCAATATATCTTAATTATGAGTTGAGACCCACAACATTAGATATCTTCCTTATATGTTGAAGAGTTTAAAAATAAATTGTGCATCACATAGATACAAAAAAAATCTGAATGTAATGGAAGTTTTTTAATGTCTAAAAAAACTTATCATAATTAACAAACGAAAAAAGAGGGAAAAAGAAGGAATAGTTTAATCTAAAAAAGAAAATTGAAAATCCTTTTTTTGGGGGAACATGTTTGGTCAATGAATTATGAAGTATGTGAAATTTGAAATACATGTATTTAGAAGACCAAGACTGAATTTGAAAAACTATTATATGTTTTTACCATTCTATGATTTTGAATTTTGTTCCTGGGAATTAACTTTTTATCTCTCGAATTAATTGATATTAGATTGAGAGAGATTATATTCATCTAATTTTATAAACACTTGACAAAATCAAGTTTTGGTACTTGAATTGCTCATGACCTAGAATAAACTTAAATCAACATATTATCGTCGCCATAACGGTGAAAAAAACTGTTATATATAGTTAATATCAGCTCGCTTTGTATTCTTCAGATCTTTTAATTCCATTGTCATTATATCCTTTTCAAAATTCACCCTTCTCTCTATTACTTTATTATTTGCCATTATTCTTCACATTAAAAAACTTAAATTATGTTATATTAGGCTTTCGTAATAGTGTGTATATGCATATCTCATGTTAATTGTCTAATTTCTAATTTAAATTTTGTACATTCCTGAAATTTCTAAACACCCAATAATGTTTAATCCCAAAATATAAATGAAATGCATTAGAGTAACATTTTGAATTTTAAATAAATTATCTTATGTCCGTCAGTAAACAAATAGTGACAATTCCAATATAAATTCAGTGAATTGCAAAGAGAGTGACATTTTTTTAAGCATTCAATTTTGTAAACTGCTTTAAAGTTAAATGTAATACACAGTTGTGCCTAAGTGCAAATATACAAAAAAAAAAAAAAAAAAGCTGCCGGCCGAACTTATAATATTAGGAAAGAAAATCAACTTCTGTACACTTGACAAGATATTTATTTAAAAAAAAAACAAAAATAGATATGACTTCCAGGAATTGCACTAAGCGTTTTGTATGGTGGGATGCTGTGCAATGTACGTGGATAATCTATACACAGAACTTTTCTGTGAAATGAAACTAGCAATTCACGGATATAAAACGCAGAACTTTTATAGCTTTTGTGAACTCAAATACTATATATGTCAGCATAATTCTCCTCATCCCTCCCTTTTTTTTAAAGTTAATGTAATTTTTCTTAAGAGAAGGATTGAAGAATAAACTTAGTTTCTGTATCATATCCAAAAAAAAAAAAAAAAAAAAAAAAAAATTGTATTCTTTCAAAAAATTTTTAGTGTGAATTTTGAATATCACGAAAAATAAATCTTCATACTCTGGGATTCTGATTTTGCCTTACAAACAAGATTAAGAAAATTATATATCCTTAAATGAAAAAGAAACGCAGGTTAAACTTAAGGTGAAATGATTTTGTGTTTCTTATATTTTTTTCTAGTTTTCTTAACATTTCAAATCCTCTTAAATGAAAATGCAACCAAAATTCTTATCTGACCATTTTGCGTAATTCTTGGTCATGGGGGTTAAAGCGGTCACAAACTTCGTATGCAAGTGATAACGGTATTCAGTAAAATTCGGTTGTAGCGAAGTCCTTGGTAAAAATATTTCCCATGTTATCTTACCCTGCGTTTCTTTTTCCTTTCAGTATAGTCACCGGCGTGGCACAGTAGTTAGAGCATTCTTCTCTAGAGTCGCGAAGCAAGGAGTCGATCCTTACGTTGCGGGTTCGAATCCCACTTTGGGACGTGGAGACCGGTCCTTCGGATGAGACTGTATAAACCGAGGTCCCATGACGCAGTAGGTGCTGGCACGAAAAAAGATCCCTCCCTGCTCAATGGCCCTGAGTGCCGAGTACAGGACAAAATTTGCAGATATCCAACGGCAAGTGGTGGCGCCATATGAGTGAAAAATTCTCGAGAAGGACGTTAAACAACGTACAATTAATTAATCAATCAATCAATCAATCAATCAATTCTTTAAGTATATATTAGACCCTTATCATTTTCTTCTTTATTTCAAATGTTTCAAGTCATCGTCGTAACAATCAAGTAAAATCGGTTTTAAACGGTGTGATGTTTAAAGCATTGAATTTAGAATTTAAGAAATTTTGCTTTTTACAATTTTACCGTTGCAAAGTATTGTTTTATAAAACCATAATGACACTGGTCTCCATAATTTAAATTGTATCGATGTGAATATTTGTCTTTCAAAACAGTAAGAAGAATGTTATCACCCCTCCCCCTCTGAATTACAAAATATTAACGTGCAATATTTAATAATCTATGATTAATTTGCAAAATGACCTCAGGCATAATTATTGTTAGTTTTTAAAACTGTCTCGCTAAAAATGAATCAGGAAGGAAAATGCTATACCCTTACATTACAAATAAATGTACATTCTCCAGATTTGACAACATTCTACGAGCAGGATCTGTTACAGGACAGAAAATGAGGCGTTTAAAGTTCTTTGGTGTCCTGGTCATTGTTATCAATTTAAAAGGTAAACAAGTTTTTGTGTTTACTACCAAAAGATCATTAATAATAAATACGCCTTAATTAAAAACATTAGAAAAAAAAGATAGAAAAGTTACTAATATATAAATCATCTAACACCTTTTACTCTAAGGCACTCATTTTTTTTTTATTACATGTTATATATCTCTATCAGAAAAAAGAAGCTTTGATGAAAGTAAGCATTTTCCCCCCATAAATTAAAAAAAAATTAAAGTGATCTTTAAGTTCTTTCACTGTAATTCAAAAGTTGAGGGTCTATATAACCTAGACAAATTGCAAAAATATCTGACTCTTATAAAAAGATTCCTAATTAACAAGAAATACAATTTTCAAGAAACTCCACCTATATGACGTAGTTCAAATCTCGGCCGCAATGAAAAATAAATTAGAACTGTTCTGTCGCCAAACGCTCGGCAATGAGATTTAAAAAAAAACGAGAGAAAAAAAAAACGTCGAGGCAGCAAGCAAGTTTCATTTATTCATACTTTTTATAATTTGTTAGTTTGGTATTGAAGAAACCGGGAAACAATTTGTTATAGTCCTTCAAATTTCATCAACCTAACCTTTACCTTAGTTTTTCCCTTTGCCAAAAAAGTTGTTACTTTTTAAATGTTAAAGGTCAAATATCAAGGAAATAGATATACTTGTATATAATATATGTTGTAAGCAATGGCTAAAAAGAAGGAATTACAATATTCGTTTAATTTTAAACCTCGTTGATTTCTTTATTTACCTGTTCAAATATCGCTAAAAATAACGTTCATCAATAGAGTTACTTCCCCTTTTTGTGACGTCATTTGAGACACTCGACAAAATCTAGTTACATAAGTATAGTGAAAAGTGCTCTTGATTAACTAAAATTATTGCAAATTTTGGGGAACAGAAATGTTGATATATCAGAGTTATGTATAGATCTGTCTGTTAAGAATAGGCTTTGCATATTTGAATCAAGAAAGTACGCAAATTGATTAATATTATTAATTCTTCTTCGTCGATTCTGTTTCGTCCGAAGCCGGTGTAAAGACGAATAATGACCCCAATCGAATAATGACCGGGGGTTATTTTTCGACAGCGAAAAATGACCCCCGGTCAATAATCTACGGCGAAAAATGACCCCCGGTCATTATTTAAGCAAACATTAAAAGGAGGAATATTGAAAAGAAATTTTATTTACTTGACAATTAAAGAATCTCTTTTTAAACAAAATTTTAGCATTGAAAGACTACGTGAATCTCTTAATTTTTAATTTCTCACTTGAAATTGTTCATTGCAAGTCTGGTTGTTCTTCCGAGAGGGGGGGGTATAAAAAGAATATGTATTAGCAAAGATTTAATATCTTTAATCATATTGTGATAGTCTGCATATATAGGATGGAACATTTGAAAAATATACAGCATCGAGGCGTCTTGTCATCCATTTCTATTTTTATTCACTCGTCCGAAAACCTTATTAATTCGAACAAATTACTTATTTGTACGCACCGATATTATTTCGTCTGCTACAAATTTCTACTTTTTCCCAACAATTTTTTTTCTGAAACAGCGTATCAATGGAGTCAGTAAAGAAAAAAATATATTCATAAAGAAGGTGTTGCAGAAACTCGCGATTATTCCCTATATATCGAAAAGGACATTTAAATACCCTGGTTATGTCTAAATATAGATACAGCTACGTAGAAGACTATGTTTACGGCGGGTATTTCCTGCTTGATACAGCAAAACACTTTCGTCGTTTTGCACGAAAGAGGTTGGAACAACAAAAAGCACAATGGCTAAAGCAGCATTTTGAAAGATATACTGTAGACATCGTGTGAAAATATTTTTTTTATAAAATAAAACTGCGTCCCATAATCACACTGTTGGTGCTACATCCAAGACATTTTATTTGTTTCATATCAAATCTTGGCTACTAACTAAGAGACCAAAATTGCCATAACTACAGTATTTAAATAAATATATTATTTAAACAATTTAGTAGATTTATTTTTCAAGACAAAATTAAATAAAGCATTAGTTTTAAGTCACAGCATATCAAGGAAAACGATTTAATCCTGCATTTCTAATATATAGATTAGTTATTACTCAATTAACTTGTTGATACCTCCCCCACCTCTCTTTCAAAAAAATATATCATTTCATTGCACTACCATTAAATATGAAAAAAAAAATTATGCAAAAATGATCCATACTAGGATTCGAACCCATTCTCTGGTAAAAGTACTAGTTGGAAGCCCACCAGCATATCCACTAGACCATTTCGGACACGATGACCTTACAGTGTTATTTAAAGTACACATTTTGCATTTCGTTTGGAGAATAATTTTTATTCAATTTTTGCGTTTTTCAAAAATGTGCCTCTTTGAAACAAAAATCGGAAATGGCAGTTTTGAAGAAAATTCCTGCCTCTTTGTGTATATATCAAAATTATTTTGTTTCAAGGAGGCACTTTTTCAGAACAATGGGGATTCCCTATTTAAAAAACGGAAAATCTGCTATATTTTGCCATAAGACTAATTTTCACATCATTTTATGGCAAAATGGAAGTCAATACACACCTTCCAAATATTGTTTCTCCTTGTGCTTTATACATTGTTGCATTTGAAAAAAATTAATATGAGTTTCTGCAACATGAAAATTCTTCTTTTAATCTGCTACACATTTAGGGAAAATAACAAAAGAACTGCAACACCCTCTTTCATCTCCAACGTGCGTTTGATCTCTTTACATGTATCATCTTTGATTTTCTAGGTTTGCTCCTTTATCAGATAAATGATTAATTGATTGATTGTTTTAACATTAAAATTGCTTAAAACTGAATTGTAAATATTTCGACAGAGAGAAATTAGGAACTTTATTACCCTACGTGCTAAGAAGAACAAAGATCAAATCTATTCGAATAAATGCATGAATTACTCGAACGAAGAACAATTATAATACACAGCATATTTTTCCCTTTCACCTGTTATAAATTTTGTATCACTTTAAAGGGGGTCATTTTTCAATGGGGGTCAATATTTTATAGGACTAACATATAAAATAATGACCCCTAGGACTCTTTTTCTACAAAAAATGATTTTTTTTCTACGTTTAGGGGGTCATTTTTTGTCGTTGAAAAATGACCCCCCGGTCATTATTCGATGCATGGGGGTCATTATTCGTCTTTACACCGGTAAGGGTGAGAGTGGAAATTCAAATAATAACTTAGAAGGGATCATCGCAGAAGCTAACGAATGAACATACATGTAATTTGTATTTAATGCCTTTTCACTGAGTGTAATCAGTAATTTCCGCAAAAAAAAAAAAAAAAAAAAAAAAAAAAAAAAATATATATATATATATATATATATATATATATATATAAAAATACATATATATATATATATATATATATATATATATATATATATATATATATATATATATATATATATATATATATATATATATATATATATATATATATATTTAACTGCGAAAAGTTGGTTTTATGTGTTGTTTCTTATTCATCATATACAATGTAGGACCAGGACTTTTACATTGTGAAAACGTATAGAATTCTTTTTTTTTTTTACATTGCATAGCCATTTGAACCGGACACACGGCGATTTTTTTTATGTTAAGTATACCATGGTATATACTACGAACAATGAACGGAACAACAGAAATTCCGTCATCGTCGGATATATATATATCATCCGTGGGAATCCGAAGATGTAGCTATCACAGGTGCTTGGACCCCCCCCCCCCTCGGCTCGGTTGTTCCGTACCCCAGTGAATTTTTTTTTACTTTAAAATATTTTTCTCTGATATATTCATAAAGTATTAAAACCGAAAAATCCAAAATTTAAGGGGAAAGAAGGCTAGTTTAAGCCTTTTATATATTCATACCCCCTGATACTAAAACAGAACGTTCTGTTTTAGTATCAGTATGAATTTTCCCCGTCCCTAAGCACATGTGGTAACTAAAGATTTGTCTGGAACCTTTTTAATTTATGCGTAACAAGTAATTTTTATTTGCCCCTCCCCCCTCCCTCCCGAAGTAACATATCTGTGTTGTCCCCCTCAACGGATATTAATTGCTTCATGCAGGCCTGAAAATCTTGGTCACATAGCGCTTTCATTCTAATAATATTTTAATATGAATTATTTCACCCTAATTTAGTTTAGAAAAAAGAAAACAAAACTATTTTAAGTATACATTCTGATTTCATATGCTCTTGTGGTAACTATGTCAAGACGCCAGCGCAAGAGAAAATAAGTGCTGGAGGAAAACAAAATTTGCGGGCAGAAAATTGAGGAACAATCACTTGCGTTCATGAACACTGAAGTTTTATTGTTTGAATAAATATGAAATGGAAACAATTTTAATGTAAAAATTTTCTAGAAAAGGGACAACTGGACGTAAATGAACGCATTCTTGGGTAAGTATTTTCTGAGACAGATATCATGCGCGGATTTAGAGGGGGGATTTCCGGGACATACCCCATCCCAACTGAGATTTTTTTTTAAGACACGATAACTTGGCAAATTATCAATTCCTTGTCTATTATACCACACCTTCCGTTTTTTGTCTCTCAAGTTTTAGAGATTGTTCCTTCAGAGTATATGAAAATTGCTAGTATTTTTTTTTACTCCAGCATATTAGAGGTTTACGCCGAAATACATGTACTTTTGACTTGGCGCCGCGTAATGTTCAGTCATGTATATACTGAGTGCATGCTCTAAAAATATAAAATATCGAAGTATTGGTATGACGCAGGCACGTAGCATCCTTTTTGGAAGGGGGGGGGGGGCAACCAGAGAATTTTTTTTTACTTACCTGAAAAAGTTGACAAACAAAAAAAATTAAAGGGAAATAGCCCAAACTCGAAAATCCTAATTCGTGGGGGGGGGGGGGGAGGTAGTGGCTAACTTTTTTTCAAGGCCAATAGGGATGTGCAATTTTATCGGTATACCGGTGTATCGCGATTTTTTATTGCGTGATACGTATCGTGATACGGAGACCTAAATACCGGTATTTAAGTACATATTATAAAGTACAGAAATTATTCATTTAGTTGTTCAATCTTTCAAATTACAATTACAGAAAGTCTAAAAAAAATGTTGTATAAGGTGAAAAACAGCCTATTAGCATCGAAACATGATTAATTTTATGTACATAAAATTTCAAAAAATTGACATTTTGTTTTTCTAGCATATTTTTAAGAAAAATAATGACTATTCATTTAAAATAAATGTAAAATTTGCTTGTAGAAATATCATGATATTATCGTGATATTTTGGGAAAAAAAATTGTGATATATCGCGATACGGAATTTTTCGCGATACCCATCCCTAAAGGCCAACTTCCTTTTACTTACATTTTTTTTCCATGCAATACTACATATCCTTCATATCATTATACTATGGTAAGAAGTGGGGGGGGGGGGTGTAACCAACCTTTGAATAGACAGACAAGGAATTCATGTATATTTTGCTTAGTTTTATTTTCAGCAGGGGGAAGGGGCAAAGTACATGAACCAATCGTCAGGTGCTTGTGATTTTGTTGAATTTAAAAAAAAACTTTCCCTCAAAACAGTATTGCGACTATAAATACCTAAACCGACAAATTGAAAAATGCAATTTAAATTTGAAATAAAACCAAGAAATTCGTGAGATAATTTTATAATTAATTAAAATGTAACCTAAACTGGTCTATGTAAAATGTCGCTTATATTTATAGTGTTTCGTGTTTATTGGGCTGAAAACTATCTCCTTTTTATAAATTGAATGTCCATATTTCCCTCAATTTCTGGTGCGTAAGAATTTAAATATATACTCATGTCTTGTTCCGATTTATTGGTTCAGTTTAAAGCCCACATCATGCACATGGCAGCATCTCGAAAACAATAATGTTCCAAACACGGCAATATAGCATGCACTTCCTATTTCACGCTGTCTCTGATGACGTCACGCAACAAGGGAGATAAGCGATTTACAATAAATGATCCACTTGTCACACAGGTAAGTTTAAACGACGATTAGTGATGGAAATTGGTGACAAAAAAATAAATAGACCTCAGAATGTCATTCATATGGCTCCAGAGACTGACAGTAATGAATAATTATGAATTTTCAAAACAATATTATACTTGACCTTTAAAGTCTGCAATTTAATTTCTCTCAGTACCAGCAGAGTGCATTTCTTTTTTTTGTTCTTCTTTCATCTCAATACGTAATCTTGTGACTATTCCTTGTGGACTTGCATTTTTTCCAGTCTTCCAGCTATTTTACACACTCATCGGTGCCAATTCTACTAAGAAACCTTTTAAGTTCCACCTTCTCGCATCTGACATCAACCATTCCTGATATATAGGGTCTTCCGTCTCCAACGGAAGACCCTTCTATTGTTTCTTTTTCATTATTATCATTTTTTTTCGGCCAAATTTTCTGCAGACGATTTCTCAGAGATGCATGGACGGATTTCTTTGAAATTTTCAGAGATGATGTATCATGATCAAAACCTGATCAATTCTTTTTAATTTTTGGAAAATCACTTCCGGTCGGAAGTTATCGCTCTTTCATCTAATTTTTAGTGAAGTTTTAGTCGACACAAAAACTCAAAAACGACAAAAGCTAGAGTGCTGTAATTTTCAGCGAATATAGTGACATGTTGTAGTTGTGCACCTATATTTTCAAATCTTCTGGAAGCGCCTAGTTTTGAGACATTTTACATCATATCTTTTAAAGTATAATAATTTTGTTAAAACACACTAAACAACTTTTGTGCAGAACAACAAGATCTTGAATATGATACCAGCAAAAAAGTGCTGCCTCATCACATTACGGGCTGAGAGGGGCCAAAAGTCTTTAATCAATAACTCTTTAACAGTCAATATTTTGTTATACATTACTGAAGCAAAAATGTTTATCTCAACAATCTACAACTATGTATTATAATTTTTATGTCGTATGGTACATAATTAGGGACCACAAGGGGCCAGAATGCTCAATCTTTGACGCTTTATACATCAAAAGTGGGAAATATTTTGAAAAGTAATATTGAACGAAAGATGTTCAAAACAATGTTCTGAACAATATGCAACCTTTCATTTTTAGCTCTACTGTTCATAGACCAGAAGAGCTTATGCAATAGTAATTCGTCCGTCGTCTGTCTTTCCGTCTGTAAATAATTTTTCAAAATGCTACTCCTCCTACAGTTTTGGTCTGATTTCAATATAGCCTGGCACACAAGTAGACTACATTAAGTGTTGCCGTGTTTACTAAAAAAAGAAATTTCTGTGAAATACTTTTAAAATGCTACTCCTCCTACAGATTTGGTCTGATTTAAATGTAACTTGGCACACACATAGACTACACTAAGATACAAAATTCTGTATATTGGTTTTTGATTTCGATGAACGGTGTTGCCGTGGTTACTAAAAATAAAAATTTCTGTGAAGTAATTTTAAAATGTTACTCCTCCTACAGTTTTGGTCTGATTTCAATATAACTTGGCATACAAGTAGACCACACTAAGATACATATTTCTATATATCGGTTTTTGATTTCGTTGAACGGTGTTCCCGTGGTTACGAAAATAGAAAATTTCTGTGAAATACTTTTAAAATGCTACTCCTCCTACAGTTTTGGTCTGATTTCAATATAACTTGCCACACAAGTAGATCACACTAAGATACATATTTCTATATATCGGTTTTTGATTTCGTTGAACGATGTTGCCGTGGTTACTAAAAATAGAAATTTCTGTGAAATACTTTTAAAATGCTACTCCTCCTACAGTTTTGGTCTGATTTCAATATAATTTAGCAAAACAGTAGACTACACTAAGATACATAATTCTACGTATCGGTTTTTGATTTCGATTAATGGTGTTGCCGTGGTTGCTAAAAATAAAAATTTCTGTGAAATACTTTTAAAATGCTACTCCATATACAGTTTTAGTCTGATTTTAATATAATTTGGTGTGCAAGTAGACTACACTGAGATACATAATTAATTAATTATAAGTTTTATGTGTTTGATTTTGATGAACGATGATGCCATGGTAACAAAAATTGAAAATTCTGTAAAATTTTATTAAAAGCTACTCCTACAGTTGTAGTCCTATCGCAATCTTGCCACAAAAAGAGACTTAATCAAGGATCATTATTCTATTTATTGCTTTTGGAAAGTTTTATGTCCCTACTGCTACTTTACTCTTCCTTTAATATGAGTACAAACCAGTAGAGCTACAATCTCGACAGATACTTCTGGTTCGCTAAATGTCCCCATTAAGGAGTTAAAAAGTTGGCCCTTGAACATTTCTTTTGCAAATATCTCGAAAACGAAAAACAATCTCTCAAGATTTGTTGAACAAAAAGTGTTAAAAAATCATGAGAACTTTAAGACGATTTCAAGGAAAAGGGGCTGAACCTTCATGTAAGGGGCCAAGAGAGGCCAAAATTCGAATTTATAAGTCTTTAGTTTTCAATATCTTTTTTACTCACTATGGAGGCAAAAGTTTTCTCCTTTAGAATTTATATCATTATTTTTGAATGAAAATCTCAATTAAAATCTTATCTAATCTCATCAAAAATCGGACGGAAGACCCACTCGTTGCTCGCAACGAGATCGTATCTAGTTGAAATCTATTATTTTTTTTCATTCATTGCCATTTGAATCTTAGAATCGTGAAAATCATTTGATCCAAAAAATTGCTATATAAAGGAGTTCATCCGTGGTATCATAAAAAAATTGTTTGAGGTTTACTCCTCTTATTCTTGAGTTATGTATGTAGATGAAACCTAGAAGAAAACAAATCTAGTTATTTTGTAATTAGGGAGTATTGGCTCATTGGAGTACCACGTTGACTGGGCAACAGCGTCTATACATTGCAAAGCAAAATATGACTCGCATTTGATACCACAAAGCTACATAGAAGACCAAAATCTTCACGGTGACGTTATAACTGGAATTGGAGTGAACATGTCAGCATGGGTTGATGGAAAAATTCAGAAGATCGGATGCGATCAGGGTAATTGTTGAAACTTTATTCACTTAACTAAAGATTGTATTTTTAATGGAAAAGTACAACGTTGTTGATTTTATTTTTTTCATGTTTTCAGAGAAGTGTTTACTGATGAAAAGTTTGCTTGAGAAGGACGTCAGAAAAATGCCATATATTTGTGGTGATTTTCAATTGTATTTATTTGCGTATTTCTATCATTATTATATTTTTATTTCTGAATACATATTTTAGTTCAATCTAAATACAACCCTTTGAATTATAATTTTCCAAAACTAGCATTTTGAATACAGATAACTAAGAGAAAAAAATTGACGAATATTTTTCACAAAATTTGAATCAATCCTTCTTCCCGTTTAGTTACCTCCAAAAATATAGAAATAAATTTGACGGATGTGTCATTCAAGACTTCTTCGAAATTATGTAAGTTCAAGAAAGTAACAATCGAAGACAGCTTGCAAAGAAATGGATTGTTGTCTAGCCTTAACGAGCTCTCTGAAATGCCTTCAACGTCGAAAACTTTTTGGCTCCCAAATGTTGAACTGAGCAACAACACAGGTAAGCTAAAATCACATAAGAGCTTTAAAAACAGAAACCAAAAATATGAATAGAACTGCAATTTCAGAAGATGATCAAGAATTTTTTTAATTTATGAAATATTATATTTGAATGTTAGATGCAAACTGCACCTTTGTCTCTTCTCGTACGAGCAACTTCCTTGAAACAATGTACGGCAACTGCAGCATTCGAAAAATGGGCGTGTGTATCAACTCTACATGTAAATAAACCTTTTTTCTCTCTATTTTTTTTTTTATATAAAAAAGTCTATGTTTGAGCATAATTTATATATTTCCAGGTATTATAATTTTTCTCTTTTCAGACTTGGTGGATTACGAAATGTCGGTGATATTGGAAATAAATTTGAAACAAATGCCATTATTAAAATCGGATGGTATATGGACAACTAAAGGTACAATGTAAATCCTTAAAATAATGCTATACATGTGTTTCAATTAAATGACAATTGAAAGACTTTTGTGATTCATGTCAAGTTTTTTTTTAAAAAATGGGATGTTTAGTATATTTATTTTGAATATGCAGATACGTGCTAGATTTGACATATGAAAAAAGACAAATTTTTGACTATTCCATATATAGATATTCTAAAAACAAAAGGGGAAGAAGGAAAAGAATCTACGTTCAAAATCCAAAGTCAACAAGGAAAAATACCAAGTGCAAAGACTTTGAATGACTCAGATGTACACATCCAAGATTTGCCAAGAGAGAGTAATAATATCAATGTTAAAATCCCAGAATTCGATTTTCGTGTTGCATTTGAATGCAATTTAAAAATAAGAGGCCCAAAGGGTAGTTCACATGCTATCACCTGAGCACATCGGGCTTGAATTTGTTATTCACGAACCCTCCAGGCATTCATCATTTGAACAAACTAGAATCTACACTACCTGAGGATGATTCCATATAAATATCACTAATCATAGCTTTGAAGTACTTGAAAAGAAGATTTTAAAAGGTTTCCCTATATATCCCTATGTAAAACTTGGGTCGGCCATATTTGGCCCCACCCTAGCCCCGGGGGTCATGATTTTTGGAACAAACTTGAATCTAAAAATGATTCCAAAGTTTGATTTTTCCTGGCCCATGGTTCTTGAGGAGGATTTTTAAAATATTTCCTATATATTCCTATTAAAACTTTTTTTTGGCCCCACCCTTGCCCCGGGGGTCATGATTTAACAAAATTAAATCTACAAAATGATTCACATGAATTTCATCTTTCCTGGCCCAGTGGTTCTTGAGAAGAAGATTTTTAAAGATTTTTCCTATATATTCCTATGCAAAACTTGGGTTTACTTTACAGGCCATTTTCCCCACCCTTGCCCCGGGGGTCATGATTTGAACAAACTTGAATCTACACTACCTGAGGATGATTCCACTTGAGTTTCATCTTTCCTGGCCCAGTGGTTCTTGAAAAGAAGATTTTTAAAGATATTTCCGATATATTCCTATGTAAAACTTGGGTCGGCCATTTTGGCCCCACCCTTGCCCCGGGGGTCAAGATTTGAATAAACTTGAATCTACACTACCTGAGGATGATTCCACATGAGTTTCATCTTTCCTGGCCCAGTGGTTCTGGAGAAGAAGATTTTTAAAGATTTTTCCTATATATTCCTATGCAAAACTTGGGTCGGCCATTTTGGCCCCACCCTAGCCCCGGGGGTCATGATTTGAACAAATTTGAAACTACTCTACCTGAGGATGATTCCACATGAGTTTCATCTTTCCTGGCCCAGTGGTTCTTGAGAAGAAGATTTTTAAAGATTTTTCCTATATATTCCTATGTAAAAATTTGGTCGGCCATTTTGGCCCCACCCTTGCCCCGGGGGTCATGATTTGAACAAACTTGAATCTACACTACCTGAGGATGATTCCACATGGGTTTTATCTTTCCTGGCCCAGTGGTTCTGGAGAAGAAGATTTTAAAAGATTTTTCCTATATATTCCTATGTAAAACTTGGGTTGGCCATTTTGGCCCCACCCTTGCCCCGGGGATCATGATTTGAACAAACTTGAATCTACACTACCTGAGGATGATTCCACATTATTTTCATCTTTCCTGGCACAGTGGTTCTGGAGAAGAAGATTTTAAAAGATTTTTCCTATATATTCCTATGTAAAACTTGGGTCGGCCATTTTGGCCCCACCCTTGCCCCGGGGGTCATGATTTGAACAAACTTGAATCTACAATTTGAGGATGATTCCACATGAGTTTTATCTTTCCTAGCCCAGTGGTTCTGGAGAAGAAGATTTTTAAAGATTTTTTCTATATATTCCTATGTAAAACTTGGGTTGGCCATTTTGGCCCCACCCTTGCCCCGGGGGTCATGATTTGAACAAACTTGAATTTACACTACCTAAGGATGCTTCCACATGAGTTTCATCTTTCCTGGCCCAGCGGTTCTGGAGAAGAAGATTTTTTAAAAATGCCATTAATTTTTAACAAATTCATGACTATCTCCCCTTGGGAAAGGGCGTGGCCCTTCATTTAAACAAACATTAATCCCCTTCACCCAATGATACTTTGTAGCAAGTTTGGTTGAAATTGGCTCAGTGGTTCTTGAGAAGAAGATGAAAATGTGAAAAGTTTACGACGACAACAACGACAACGACAACAACGACGACAGACAACGGACAAATTTTGATCAGAAAAGCTCACTTGAGCCTTCAGCTCAGGTGAGCTAATAAAGTAAAAATCAAAGCAAAAGATAATTCACATGCTATTTAATGACCTTCTCATCACAAAATTTGTTATTCACGAAACAAGAATCTTCGTTAGGGTAGATACTAGTATTTAAAAGATACTTTTTAAAAAAAAAAATTTCTCTAATTTTAATACAAGTAATTAACTTCAGGTTTATTTATAGCTGTTGTAGCAACGAATGGTCAAATTCATGGCTCGCCCAAATATATTGGCAAGAAAGATTCGGAGAACTTTTGTGAGTTAAACCTGTATTCTAAAAATATTAAATTTGAACTATTTATACAATATACAACATTAAAAATATACATCCCCCCCTTTTTTTTTACATACATAGCTGCCACTAGGAGAAATAACATTTTCAAGCATTCAAAATAACACATAGATATACACTTCTTATAGTATTTATAAGTAATTATTTTAATACATATTTTGATCCACTGATTCATTTTTTCTTTACAATTGCAAAAAATAACCACTTACTATTACTTTACAGCTGCTTTAGTTTCCTTTATCCTTAGCAGTTTAAGTTTGGTCCTGGTTATAACCTTTATGTGCGTCGGGATGGTCATTTGGAAAAGGTTTGTTACATTTACCTGACAAAAGCTATTAAAGAGTAAAAATATAGTCCACTGCATAAATATAAGTTTAAGAAACATGCATTTAGCATTAAAGTTTCTTAGAGCACAAATAACGTCATATCTCATTCTAGGATGTCACAAAGGCTGGACGTCCTGATGAAAGACCATAGTAGCTTTACAGATGAGAAAGCTTCCACAAAAAGCACAAGAAAACGCAAAACAACATTTCAGAAAAAAGTGTACGAGACCCTTCCCCCAGAGACAACTCAGGGTCACGGTCACTCTACCCGTGTCAAGGACATGCCCAGAGAGGAAGAAAATCCCTACTCTCAGATTGCTGGCAGAGGTTTGTGCCGTTACCATATTAATTCTGGAATAGTTGGACAAGCAGAAGCAGACGTGTAGGATCCGGGAAATGGACATCGTCTATTTTAAGCAAAAACATCGCGTCTCATCACTTCACCTGGTTCTGTGTTTTCCATTGTTTACAATATTAATTAACCTTAATAAAGTTACAATGATTAAGTGTTAAGATTACTATTTTTTATTTGATTGTATCATTCCTGAGACTTGTTTTTTAGTCATAGAAGAGTCGTCTTGAAATTTACAATTTATGATTAAGAAATTTATATTTGCTCTGCTCCTAAATATTATTAAATGCACTTTTGACTTGAATACTATTCGTTGTATCTCTTGGTTTCAATTGGTTTTTCTTTCCAAAGAAACATGGTCACAGTTTAAGCTGAAAATTTTCAAATTTATTTTTTCATTTTTTGTGCTTACAAATACATAGCTTATGTATTTTTGATGATTATCAAAAATTTGAATCTATGTTATCGAGACACAAGACAGATTCAGAGATCTTAATTTTTGTTATGTAAACAAGGCCAGTGTCACGTATTTTTTACATACTAATATATGGTCGTTCAAAGCAGATTTTTCAAAAAAAGTTAATTCTAAATACCATTAGACATTTTGTAGTAATTTACTAAATCTTATTTTACTATAAATATGATATTTCGATTTCTATAGTTAAACAAAAACAAGACACGAGCCTTGTTTACATTATGAAGAATTATGAAAAGTTCTATATCTCCTTTGTAAATCAACAAATGATTTTCAAATTTTTGCTAATCATTTGAACAGCCTTATTTAAGAATTGTAAACATTAGAATTTGTTTTTAAAAATTAGTTGAAACTAAAATTTAAAACAAAAAACTGTCTACTTCAAAGCAAATAAAGAATACGGAAAATAATTATTTGAATATGACACTGAAACGCAAAAGAAACGCGACAAGCAGTTATCTACAAATGTTTGAATTGTTTACTAATGATTTTCAGAAAAAGAATGCATTAAGCTAAACTTTCTTTCCAGAACATCAGATATTTGATAAAAATGTTAAATGTTTATCTTTTAACTTTACTAAGTAACATATGACTGTTAACACAGCCCCTCCAAGTCATTCAATTACAACGTGCAAGTCTGCCCTGAACAGCAATTGCAGCTAAATTTCTACGATACAATAGGTTAATCAATATGGAGATCTGAGCGAAGGAATTATACTTTGCCATTTTAAATGCCTTTTTTTCGGATGATTAGGTCGAATTTCCTCTAACTTAGCGCATTGAAGTAACCCTTGGACTACTGATCCAAGGACTATCATTTACGCGTTGAGGCGTAATGAAGTGTAGTTTTGCATCATCAACTCTCCATCACCTTTACTTTGAGATTTTCCAGCTACAGCAACGGAAATGCGTAATTAAGCCATTTTCAAGAAGCCTTAGCATCGTTGCGGGAAACGAAAGGAGATTTTATTTTTTGAAATATTGCTGCATTACTTAAGATGAACAGTAAAAACCCTTAAAACTCCATAACATTGCCAAATGTTTTGTTAAACATGCAATTTTTGATTTCTGTTAAGCAGACTCAAACTTGATTTCCGCTTATGGTATGAAAATCGTTCAACCGTTAAATTACCGATATTTACCAAATTGGAGATTTCCATAATTTTAAGATACAAAATTCTTTACTTTACATAATTTTTCCCCTTAAAGTAGGGTGTTGCGTTTCTTTTGCGTGTCAGTATATGTATTTAAATGTAAAAAATTATACCTTAAAAATGGAAAAGGGAAAAGTATAATGTAAAAGTAAAGATAATACAATGCATGTAATAAAATGTCTGATTGCCTGACAAGTACTCCAAGGATAATATAAAAGTTTCTCGAATTAAAAATATCAAGATAGCTTGAGAGATCAGTTCTGTTGAGAGATTAATTCCTCCAACAATCAAAATCATTCAATGTAGAGTTGTTTAAAATAAAAACACATAATTCATTTTAATCTTCGTTTCATGTCTTCTTATAATGATTTCCTATCATATTCTCCAAAGATATGAAGAGGGTTTAAGTAAATATTCTAGCAAGCCTCTTTCTTTATTCATTACTAAAATATTAACAGTAGTGAAGGAGAAACTCCAGGAGTACGTACTGTGCAGCAAAATATTCGAGAAGGAGTGTAAATCAGATGTGGATTCCTAAATCCAAAGAACTTTTAGAACATTTGAAATAACAATTTTTTTTAAATAAAAATCAACAGCATAAAAACTAACGATTTTCATCCATTTCCCAAGATCTATTTCAGTCCAGGCTTTTTGATTTCATTGACAGTTGCTTTTTCAATAAAAAAAAATGAAACTCTTAAATAGACTAACCTTGTTATAAGAAATTGGCAAAATTATTTCTGTCTGTATACATAAGTTCTCTAGGTTGCTATTAGTAGACTGCTTAAGTTTCTAATTGACAATAGCTATGTTGATTTTTGGAGACCAGGTGTTCCAATAATCTATTGAAATTCCCATTAGTACCAACTGCGTCCCGTTGTAAGCAGAGCTATAATTGTATTCATAGGAAGCAAAATTTGTCACAATCATATTCAGGAAAAGAAGAAAACACTTGCTGTTGCCTTCAACTCGACATTTAGATAACGACGAAGTTATTTCCATTCTTATGTCGATACGATGTATCCTGTAGAACTTGAAATTAAAGATATAATAGTCTAACACATTTTACGGAAGCCCATTTAGGACCTATCAAAAAATATTTTTGAATTCGTTATAATGATTTTTAGAATTCGTTATAACGAATTTAATTTGTTATAACAGATTTATTGAATTTGTTATAACGAATTTAATTTGTTATAACAGATTCATTGAATTCCTTATAACGAATTTAATTTGTTATAACAGATTCATTGAATTCGTTATAACGAATTTGATTTGTTATTGCAGATTTATTGAATTCGTTATAACAAATTTAATCTGTTATTACAGATTTGTTGAATTCATTATAACGAATTTAATCTGTTATTACAGATTCGTTGAATTCGTTATAACCAAATTCTTGAATTCAAAAATATTTTTTGATAGGTCCTAAATGGGCTTCCGTAGTAGGCTATACGGGAGGCGGGAAGATTATCGACGAAAACGTTATCTAGACTGTAAAGAATGTGATTGTCAGTCACCAATATCACACTACATCTCATAAATAACTGCAGATTTTGGTTTTAAAACCAACAAAAGAACATTCTTGTTTAGTCGATTTTAAGCTTGAGAAGAATGGTGTTTGGATGTTGAGTAGATAAGGTAACTCAAACTGTACAGGTACTCTTGGGAAAATGTTGAGAAAATGAAAGCTCCATAACATATTTTTTATATAATGTCTGTGACGTCGAAGATTTTGCTGCTCCGTGACCTAATGATATGTCCTGAAAAATCACTCAAAACTGATACCAATTTACAACATTTTGATATAAAATTTTGAAGACAATATAAGAAAAGTATATTATATTAAGTGTGGCATTTTGCCCGATTATGTCGTTAAATATTTTTTCTGTGCAACAAGTCCGCGTAATTTTTGAACGGCCCTCGTACTAAAAAAAGTAAACATTTTGCTGTGTATCAATGATGTATATTCAAACTATAATCCAGAAAATTCAGAGTAGAAATGTGAAGAAGCACCCATTGATGTGTGCAGAGTTTATCTTGCTTTCTCACATTTCTACTTTTTTTATTTTCTGGATGTTTAGAGTATTTTTTTCTTTAATAAACAACAGAATTTCAAATTTCTCGTGTGTGTTAAATTTGTTAAACTATGTTACTGTTAATGTTTACGTTTCACCGTGTGTGTTAAATTTGTTAAACAACATTTTCTTATAAGTATTAAGGATAAAGTTATAGAAATATGTAAGTCATGATATCATACTGAAAATTTAGAAAATATTAACTTCAAATATGTGTCCTAGCACTTTTAAAGGATCAGTGTTACACCTGTGATTAGCATTCACACAGTTATATTTTTAAAGCATTTTCATAGGATAAGTATGAACATTCTGACTAAGAATCACTCGGTTCTCTTCAGCAAATATTGTCATAAGTTCAAAAGGATCCGTGTGACTGTCATTTACGTACAACTTTGACCAAACACAGGCATGGGATGATACTGTCTGTGTGACTAGCATTCACTCTGTAAGTTTAAGCAAAAAGTTTTGCATAAAAAACATTAATGCTGAAACAGAAAAACGTTCGCAAACTGTTTTACGGTTAATGTTTTCCATCATTTTTCGTAGTTTTTTTTTTTTTATGTTCCTCACTTTAAATAAAAATAATAGCCGAATAAGAATTAAAAAAAAAATCAATTAATTGGCCAATTAAATTCCAATTTAACCATTAAGCACTTGTAATCATATGTAAATTTAGAGGAAAGTAATTGTAGTCTGATTTTTAAATCTTATGAAATATCCTATATTTTGATTAATGCCAAAGTATTAATTTGTTTAATGAACGTATAGAGCCAAGTTGTAAAAAAACATTGACCACTTTATTCTACTTTAAATTAATATTGTAATGAGTGTGTGTGATCTTAAATCAGGCGATTATAGGTAAAGTAGAGATTGTTAAGCATAAAAGGAAATGAATAAATAAATGAATCTCAATGTTTATACTTCATTAGTTTTAGAATATATGGAAAGAAGAGGATGCAGCTGATTCTGTGTTTTCACAGTTTGCTGGGCATCTTAGCTTTTTCCAGTCTTCTGACAGGTATATTTATAGGGGTTAATATGATAAATTTTAATGATAAAATTTTACAACATTTCCATATTAAAAAAGTTTTTACTTACAAAAATATCTAAATTTTATTTTAAGTATGATAAATCTACATTTTTTATCATTATATTCTCTTCCCGTCGTCTTTTATGAAAACTAGTCAACATTTTATATTAAGATAAGTGAAAACAAAAACTATGAACATACTACACTTGAAAAAATTAAATCAAATAAATCTTCTGGAAGAGTTTTACATCAGTTTTAATTTCAGAAAACCTTCTTTAAAAAAAACAAAACTTAATGTTGAAAGGCATAAATGAAAGCATTTATAAATTATTTCATTATAAAATTCAAATAAAAGAAAGAGAATTACCAATTAAGCATTCTGAATGTCAAGAATCGATTATTATTTAAGAACTGGAACAAATTTCTTAACTATATAAATTTTCATTGAAAATATTAGCAAAAGTTTCTGCAAGGACAATAAGTTATGTCAAAACTGAATATAAAGTGAAAGTAATATTGCTGATCTTACTGGTTGTACAAATTTAATGAATACGCCCGGGTTAAGTTTGATAAAAGACTTTGAATGGGTATAATAAAATTAAGTATTAGAAACTTTCGGATCTGAAAAGACGCTATGGACATTGGTATGAATTGATATCCCATGTTCAGATATAACAATTTGTTAAATCAATTTATAACATTCTTCCTTTTTTTAAAAATTTCTGGAGGTGTAAGCAAAGATGTCCTTTAATATTATTTCTTATCATATTTCTTATGTAATATAACACCAGAGATGGGATTAGGTGCCATGGAGGAGTGAGCATCTCCTGCTGATCGGTTTTCATATATTGAAATTATGCCTTTTGCAATCAGATTAAATAAAAGTATTGGTTTTATAAGAATTCAATAAGAAGAATTTAAAATGAGTTATTCAGCAGACGTTTTTTTTTTATTGAGTGATGAAAAATTCAGCCTAGAGGTATTGAGGATTGACCAACATTTTAGACCTTGATCTGGTTTAGAGACCAGTCTAAATAACAAAGATGGATTTTTAGATGTTGGAATTTTTTTCCAGGTACTTTACTATTACCAGTAATTATCTTATTTGCTTTGAAACTTGTTTTTTACTCTTTAATTCAAAGAAGGGTGATATGAAAAAAGACTTAGGTAATTATTGCTGGAAATGAAGTATTTAGAATTTTTATTTCAAAGAAACTCGCAATTATAATAATTATTTATCAAGCAATATTACCTATTTCAAATGATGTAAGAATATTCAGATGTGCAAAATTCATAAAAGGGAGATAATTGCTGTCAGAAGCGAAGTTCTAAAAATTGAATGGTTGGTACAATTTTAAATCTCAGATGATAATACCTTAAAAAAATCATCTGAAGCAAATCGAAGGATTTTCGAGATGAAATTCTATAACCTTATAACAATAAACAAAGAGTTTTACTCCCCTTATTTGGACTTTGTAGTGCTTCATTCCCCATTTTAAAACTCTCTCTCTCTCTCTCTTCAGTTTAGAAAACGTAAATATAAATATGTATATTTGATCAAGTGTGATAAAAATTCAAGCACACACTTCTAGTCAATTGAAAACGCCTAGACACTGTCATAAGACTAGACTGTAAAGTCCTTCAAAATAAATATATACATATCTGCATAACACACGGAAAAATCAAAATAAATCTAATTTACAAAAATAATAAATGCATGCATTAAGTTGAGTATGAAAGTTCAAGTGAACATGTTACCCTTTGGTCTGTAATGAAAAAAAAATGAGAGAAATAATCGGGGAAGATGTTCTTAAAAAAAAACGTTTGTTTTGGGAAGGTTTTATTAAAAAAAAATAAATAAATGGGATACCCGGTATTAAAAATTTCGACTCCAACTGGCCTCCTGGGTACAATGAAGAATCTGAAGCTTGCACACATCTACAGGAGACAACCAATCATATTCAAAAGGATGACTGGGTTATTGCAAAATCTAACAAGAGATCTGGAAATCTTTTGATACCAGCAATTCAAAGAACATTAGAATACATTGCTGTTAATTAAATTATCATTATGCCCCTTTCCGTTCATCACAATTTATTCTACCTGTAATTCCTCGTCCATTTAAAACAAAACCCAATTCATCTTTTGGAATATGATGATGTCCCGGAGATGCGCAATACTACATTGTAATATGTTTTCGGGATTGTTCACCCTCGGGTCAAATTTTCTATTTAAAAAATCCTGGTGCCAAGATCTGTGCAAAGTTTTTACCCTTTGTTCCAGCACTTCCCTAACATTTTATAAAATCGCTGTTTCATCTTTTTCAAAATAGCTAAGAGCGTCCTGCAGATGTTAAATCGGTTTTGGGATTTTCATTTCAAGCCTGGGACTCGAAGAAGACAGATTTAAAAAAAAAAAACCTGGTTTTCAGAACTCTGAATATATGGAGTAAGGTTTTGGAATATTAATTTTTTTTTTGTTACTCGAGGTTCATGCAAAACCTGATAACCAGTATTTTTCTTTCATAATTATCTAGTTTCCAAATCTTAAATAGTTTTAAACAATTTTTTCTCTTTTGCAAGATTTTCTGCAGATATTTAAAAGGGTTTTGGTATTTTCATTTCTTGCTTGGGGCAAAACGAGGGTTCATAAAAGACGTATAATGTTGCTTTTTTAACTGATGTTTTCTTTGTTCCTTGTTCTGAAACTCACTTTTTAAAAATCAGAATGTATAATTTTTACAATCTTAATTTTTACTGACTGGCAATGATTTTATTACTTAGTATATGAATATATACTTACAAAAGAGACCCCATGGTCTTATTCAAATTTGTGCAGTTTATGCTCAATTTGATATATGTATACTAATATTAAGCAGATTATAGAATAAGTCTTGGCTCCCAAATGCAAGTAAACAGGATTTGGAGGCAAACATAAGGATATCAATATTACTGTTTTATGACGTTTTGAAAACTCGAAGACCACCCCAATTGACCGCTGCCTGAAAATGAAAATTCCGAAACCTTAATGCATAGAACACCATCAATCATATTCCAAAACAGTTTGGACACTGCAAAAAATGTAGGAGAAGGTTTTAAGAGGTCTTTTGTATAACACAAGACACCATAAATCATATTTTAAATCATGAACTAAATACCGATTGAATTGATTTTGGGAAGGAAATAAAGTGACAGACTAATGGAAAGGAATAACAAAAAACCCAACCAGACTTAAAAAAATTAATTAATTTTTTTGGGATAATACTAAAAATACATTTTCATTTTCTCAAAGTTCATCTTTTGGCATTAGTTTTAGAAATGTAGAGCTCTTAATTTGATTCTCATGTTTTGTATTAGATGTTATGTAAGGCCCTAATATTTTCCTCTTGCAATTCAAATAGATATACTGTGTTCACCTGAGCACTATATAGACTGGAGTGAGGCATCCAAACAATGTAAAACTAAATATGAATCAGAGTTGATAACCGAAAGGTACGTGGAGGAACAAAACCTCACGGCAGAAATTATCCAGGAGCTGGGAGTCAACCTGTCTGCTTGGATCGATGGCAAAATACTAGATCTTGGCTGCAAAAATGGTAATACAGTAGTATTTCAGTACTATCAGAATGGAACGTCAAGAATCAACCCAATTGTAATTCATAGTTAATCTGTACAAACATGCTCTTTATTTTCAGATATATGTCAAACAATTGTAAAAATTCACACTAATGTGAACATAAGGAATCCATCCATATGTGGTAATTTTTTGTGTTGATTTATCCATTTATCCATAATCACAAAACATAGAAATATAAACCGTTTATTTTAAAGCTTTACTATTATATACTAGTAATTTGAGGATAAAATATAGTTTAAAAGGCGTTTAAGTTTATTGCTATCTTTTTACCCGATATAAATATATGATTGCATAATTAAGATAGCTTCATTTCTTCTTAGTAACTGCGGATGGTATCAAAATAGATCTGACAAACATGACGTTCCAAGAGGCCCAGCAATGGTGTCAACAAGAAAAATTCGAAATTATAGGAAATTTATACAAAAATATTTTGCGAGACCAGGTTGCAAAGTTTTCATATAAACTTAAGTCACCCATTTCCTACTGGGTTCCAAACATCGAACTGAGGAACAATCAAGGTAGGATCAACGATAACATTAAAAATAGAATATTCAAAGGTAAAAAGGTAATCATCTGAATATTTTTTCCCCGTCATATCATGAAAGAAATGCACAGAAAATGGATTTAATTTTTCAGATGTAAATTGCACATATGTGGTTTCCAGAGACAATGATACGTTGGAAACACTGTATGGGAATTGCTCTATTCCAATGATGGGAGTTTGTATCAACAATTCATGTAAGATTTCTAGTGACCACAATTAGCATGGAATAAATGTAATATATCATATACACTACCTGATGTTTTCAGCGCATGAAATGTAGTATAAAGAATGACGTAATCTCAATACATTCTCTCCTTTACAGATATACCAGATTATCAAATGTCTGTACTTTTGGAATTGACACCGACTAACATCCCGGTCTTTGAAATAAATTATGGTAAATAAATTATTATTATCATATATTATATCTTGTTTGTGTGAATTGTAGCGTGAACAACATAACTAAAGTGTCAACAGTAATACATATATATATATGCTTGAAAAGTATATAAAAAAGGAAATTTTAAAGTACATGTACATGTACTGCATCTAAGATCATTTTGTCTCCTTCGATTTGTCATTGATCATAAAGGAAAGAATTTTATTATCAATCAGTTAAAGTTCTAAATAATAATAAATTTCGTTTGTTTTGTTATTGCAAACAAGAAGTTAGCGAGGAAGAGGATTATTCCAGGGCCGAGGCGCTACAGGTCATAGGTACAAAAGATGATGTCCATGTAGAGGACCTGACCAAAAATAACGGCTATTGGGACTTGAAATCAATTCGTAAGTGGTACTATACACACAAATACTTTCCGTAATTAGTACTTAAGTACGGTAATGTAATTGTTTTCCCGAGTGCATTTAATTTTCTTTAACTCTCCCTTGCACCATAAATTAATTATTTCCTTTTTATGATGAATGAATTTTTAATATTTCCTTGTTTTTGTTATGTTTGTAATTGTTAAAGTCCTGTTAAGCATAAACAATCAAATTATCACATGCCAAAATATTGAGATGCCTCAAGATTGTTCATCATTTTAAAGTAAAGTAATTTTTTAAGTAATTAAGGTTTAATTTATGTGTATAATTTTTAGCTCTTGTAAGAAGAATTCGAGTATTTCCTCATCAATTTTTATTCTATATTCAAAGTATCAATTGAATTGGTCAAAAGATATCTATAAACTACATTTTAATTTTACCGATGATAATAATCATTTAATTAAGTTTAAAATTAAAACAAAATTGTACGATGAAGAAATTCTTCAAGCATTCATACATTATCCCATTAATTGCTTTGAATAGTTCCTTTTGCCATAAGTGGATTCAACTTGATTCTGTTTATGACCTTGGTTTGCGTCATCATTGTCCTGTGGAAAAGGTTAGTTGTGCATAAAAATCATCTGAAACATATTTTCTTGTATATTATCACTTTTCCTATAGTTATAACATGTCAATGAATCACTTAACAGGATTACATTAAAATGGAAACTTCTTACAAAAAGAGACAACCTTTACGATATGTATGACCCATATAAATCTCGAAAGAAAATCAGGGATTACCAAGGATTGCCAGTAATGGCCTCTGGCAACTCCACACGCGTCAAAATGGTACCGGAAGTGGACGAAAATCCTTATTCCGAGATTTACGGAAAGGAAAGTTCCGGCTTCTCCAGAGAGAAGACAACTTCGGTAGTACCAAACCATGCTGAAGGATATATCGATATGAGAGGATTGAGAAGAGACATAAACTGCAGCTCGTTCAAGATTGCTAAGACCCCTAGAAGGCAACTTAATTCTGGGTATGCCGAGTCCGGGGAGATTGTGTAAATTGAAATCTGTTGGCTAAACCAACTAAGCACCAGTCTATTTGATGACACCCTGTCCTTTTTCGTGTATATGGCAGTAGAGATCACAAAGAGTTTCCATTGTTTAACAACTCACTATTTCAATGATAAAAATCCAAGATGAAAATTGCAATCTTGTCTTAATTTTAATGAAACCTATATATTCCTAAGATTAAAATTCTATTTTGCAATTTTTTTTGCAAAACCCTTTTCTTTAAAAGCACAAAGCTTTAAAAGGCCGATTTTAAACAAATTACCAAAATTTTGGGATTCTAATTTTTATCAAAAACAGGTTTTAAAAATGATTTTAGTTAGCAGATGTCAATTGAGCGATTGAAAAGAATAATAATTATCAAAAATATCAATATGACAAACGAGAGATAAAAACTTTTTATTTTTTTTTTACCAGTAATAGTACAATATTAGTTGGATACGATTAAAAAAAAACTATTATTTTTAAGAGATAATCCAAGTCTAAGATTTAAGTTGCATTTCATTAGTGTAAATGCGTCAGACATTTTGACGGTGTTTCTAGCAGTTATGCTCAATGGTTGATGAAAGGATTCAGTACAAGGACAAAGCAAACAAGTAGGCACTTTTAACACCGAAAACGAATATTAATCCTTGCAACATATATGATGAGTGAGAGTACTCAGTGCATTGCGCCATGAATTGTTGCATGGAGTTGTTACATAAACTGATATTCATGCAAAAATGCTATCGAAAGTTCTGATACCTTCAGGAACTTGAGGACATGAGCAGGACAGTTCATAATTTACAAAAGATAACAGCTGTAAATAAATTCTGGATCTTAAACAAGATTTTTTTTTTATTGAAGTTGTTTGTTATGTCCCTTTGAAGATTTAATGGTATATTTAATTTTTGTCTTTTTAACTAATTTTTTGTCTGTTTATTTAATAACCTGGTTGTCTGTTAATCTTTTTATTTGACCACAAAAATAACTTGCCGATATATGTTAAATGTTTGATGTTAGTGATTTCACATTTCATGGGTCATTTTTCGCGAAAACAAGTTCCTTTTGGTATCAACATCTTATACATTCTTTCTTGACCTTCGGGTTTGCCCTACGTTTGAAAAAATATAACTATTTTAATAAACTATAATCTCAGCTATAATTTTAAAGACTTGAAGCACCTTGGACTTTGACTTACATTTTATTTGAATGCTTTCTTCTAGAGCTCTCATAGTTCACTTATGCATTCCTTGTTACAAGACATTTCTTTTGGTAACATTAATATTTTTCCTCATGATATTGACCTTGTATAATTAGCAAATTTGAGATAATCTTTAACCCTGGTCATATTTTGTGCATGATCGTTACTGGAACCCTTTTCACGCGTATTTTCCTTGTGACAAAATCTTTCTTTTCATAATCAACACTCTTTTAATCTCTAAACCTTGATTTTTGAATGTAACAAAAACTCTTTCTGGCACTAGTCTGCCATTCTTGAGCATCAGTATCTAACAAACATAATCTGAGTTTTTAAGAAAGGAAGTTTTGCCTGTTATTTTCCCTTTATTGTAAAATACTTTGCATGTTTGCTAATTTGAAACCATATTGATTTAATTCACCATTTTTATTCAATAAACATTAGGTTTTTGGGTAGCCTTTGTATATAATTTCTGCTTGTTAACACATGTTTTTAACAAAAGAAATAGTTTGCTAAGATTAGCAAAATAAATATTTTTACTAAAGCGATAAACATAACTTTTTTTTTTTGGTATTTTTTGTACATAAATTATTTCTGCTTTTTACACATGTTTTTGACAGCAGCTATAGTTTGCTAAGAATTGCAAAATGTATATTTTATTAAGTTGTCTACTTTCAGTTCTTTTGAATTTAATTAAATCAAATCAATGAGTAAAAAGTCTTTGTTTAGTATATTCACAGCAGCAAGTTATGGAAGTTATAAGGTTTGTTTTGGACCAATTTTCCTCATTTGATCACGTTATACCATTTTATGAGCTCTCACAAGTGTACAAATAGTAAAGATTAAAAAATATCATAATGCAGTGTTTTACCTTATCATTTGTAACTTTATTTTGCACACAAGTAGAACATGTAAAATATGTTATGAAAAGAGTTGTCGTATTTATTGACAAGATATACATAGTCTAAATTGTTTTCAATTTATAAAAGAAATAGTGTAGATTACCAATTATTCGCCAGACCTTTATTGTCATTTGTATTATATAATTTTTATGCTATACTCTCCTAACTTAATGTAATTCCATCCTCACAATTCTAATGGTTCAAAGTACAAAAACTAAATTTATTTTCATTTAATGTAGTTTAAATCTTCAAATTCTTACAAAAAATGTATAGGTCACCATATCATTCATGGGAGACATAAATAAGCAGAAGTATATGTCAACAAAAAATCGCACATTCTTTTAAAAAGTATCATGAAAAATATGTAAAAACTGGTTTAAAATACATAATTCTGAAGGGGAGATAATCAAATAGGGTGGGGTCATTAAAAAATCTTCTTCTCAAGAGTAAAGCTGTTGGAAGCATCCTGGGGTAAATATTGTTCCCCCCGGGGGAAGGGCGGGGCCACTTATATAGAAATATATAGGAAAAATTTGAATTGTGAATATCAGGGAAACTATTTTATATTAGAAGTACAATAAAGCAAATGCCTGAATGAAGAGACCTGAGAAGGAGTTATTGCCCTTTTCAACATTTTTTAATGATTGAATAATTGAATTAATAACGAAAATATGCATTTTAAAAATTCTTTTGGTTAACAATATTTATCAGTACACCTATTCAAAAGCATTCCTCCAAGAGATATTGTTCTATCAGGTATGAATTTAAATTAATAACAGTTTTTGCAAAAATCTATGACATCATAGGAGGGTGGAATTACTTTAAACAAATGAAATAATTGTGAGAAAAAATTCTTTTGGTTAAATTTTATCGCTAGCAAAAGCATTCCTCCAAGAGATATTGTTCTATCAGGTATGAATTTAAATTAATAACAGTTTTTGCAAAAATCTATGACATCATAGGAGGGTGGAATTACTTGAAATTTTCGCTAGAAGATGGTCTCAACTAATTACGCAAAAATAAGTTTTTACGAATAAAACATGATTTACAGTATACATCTGAAACTGTAACTTAGAATAAACAATATCAATTTTTGTTAATTAATGTTCCTAATTAATTTACCTATTAATTTAATTTTCGAAATTGATGGATAAAATCTACAATTTTCCAAAGTCATTTACTGAAACAAACTTCATTTATATATCAGATGAAAAGTTTTGATGTAATTTTTCTTTATGAAAGCAAATAAGAGAATGTAACATAAGAATTGATCTGCCTAATTATTTCGGATTTTGAGGTAAAATATAGATTGGAAATTTTATTTTCTTGACCTGATTTGACTCTCCCTGAAATATATGAAAATAACAAACGGTATTAATGTTCAAAAGTCCATTAAGACAATACAAATTTTGGAGCGAAGCATACATGGACCTCCAAAACATCACAGGTGGGATAAGATGCCATGGAGGAGTGAAAATTCCTTGTCGACCGGTCATACCCGCCGTGTTGTACTCCTTGTCAATCGCAAAATAACAGATAAATCTGTCGACAATTCAGTGTGTATTGTGCGTACAATTAGTACGAAAAACGCCAGTCAGTATTTGACTTTAAGTTAATGATTGAATATATTAGCTGACAAGGTCATTGTATCGACCATTAAACTATGAAATGATGACTTCAAACGAGACTGCTGATATTTTTGTTTCGTCAATCTGTTCGTCAATAACTTACGTCGTTTTAGAAATTGTTCATGCATACAGAATGCTCTTGCATATCGAATCTGTTAAAATGTTTATATGATGCGAAAAACCTTGAAGATTATTCCTTATACATGCATTTACATTCCAACGATCAAAAGAAATTATAATTACCATCATTGCATTTTGTGAAATAAAATGCCTTTTGATAAATACTACTCCTTGCAATGCTCTTCTATGATTTTTACAATTCAATTTGTGTGTTTTTCAATAACTATGTATGATTTTGATATGATCTGACTTGGTGTTACATGTAACTGAATAAACGTACTTAATATTTTCCGTCACAAACAAACATGTAATATATAATGAAAGTACTGTAAACCAATAATTATCCGCGATATCTTATTCGCGTTCCGTCAGTAGGTGTGAGAAAAAGGACATCAATCAGCCAAACACGTCCATGAAATTTATTAGGACCCGAAACTCTTAACCAAACTTTGTGACATTTTTTTAATTTTAATTTTGATTCATACATCATAATATAATAAAGAGTGTTTCGGAAGTTTTAAAACGGCTACTAGTATATGCCCTAAGGCCCGCTTCATCAGGGGTCCACCTTAGCAATGTATTCTTGTGGTAAACGTGATCTAATAATCATATCGCCTATGCTTTTGTGCTTGCTATAAGCTACAACTGGTTTCGATGTAAATATTTCTTTGCGTCTTGTGTCTGTTTTCATTTCATTCCGATATTTTAAGATGCGTCTTTTTAATATTTTGTAATCATAACTAATGGACTGCGGAGTTTAGATTAACTGTTGTTTTTATTTAGCATCTTATTTCTGTCCGTTCCAGTTACGCCCGTGATAATAGGGTCTATTTCTGTATCAGAGTAGCCTCTCTTTGATAAGTGTTTCTTGAAGTCTTGTAGGATTGTGCTGAGGGTTGCATTGTCATTGGTATTTCTCATATGTCTTATGCATTCTCCCTTAATAAAACCTTTGAATACCGCTGGGTTGTGAGAGCTTTCTCTGTGTAGATACTGAAAATTATTTGTTGGCTTAATGTACGACTTAATATCTAGTTTGTTGGATTCTTGGAATTTCCTTCCTTTGTACACTGTTGTGTCTAAAAAATTCACAGGGTCAATTGAGATTTCAAAAGTGAATTTCAAGTGCCGGTGGCATTGATTGCCAATTTGAAAGAAATCAAGAATCTCATTCTCAGACCCATTGAAAATGATGAAACCATCATCTCTAATTCGCCGTGAAACAAGACTTTATTGGCATATTGAAACTGCGCCATGATTGATTGAGTTATCTGGGACATTCTTATATCAGATACCTCCGGGGAAACAGTTGAACCCATTGCGTAACCGATTATTTGTTTGTAATATTTTCCATTAAGCTCAAAATAATTGTTTTCAAGTATGCACTTCAGAAAAAAGAGGAGATCTGAGACCTCGGGATAAGGCAGATCTGATAAATCTCGTTTGTTAATTCGGTAGGCTTCTTCAACAGCGCTTAATAATTCATCAAACTCCATGTTAGTATACATACTTGACATCGTAAGTGATCAGTATGATTTGCGATGGTAAGCATAAGGCTTCGATTTTATTGATGAAATCCATAGTATCCTTTATGTACGTCAATTGTTTTTTGAACAATTGGGATTAGAAAGTAATCACAGTAAGCACCAATTCTATGTGTTGGTGTATCGCATTGTGAAATAATCCACGACGATTTAATTTTCGCGATTGAGAAAACATTTTACACAAAACTTAATGAAAATGGAATGGTTCGCGGCGAGAATTATTTCCAAATAAAACAACATCGCGTAATTCATGAATATTTCTCACAGGCGAATGATAATTGGTTTACAGTATCTCCAATTAAATCCTGAAGCATAAAAATGCAACATCTGCATGAATGTGAATTAGACCGAATTTGCTGATACTAAACTTAATTTTGAGTAGTGTTTGCATGACCACATATTTTTATTTTACTCACTTAAAAAATAATAATTTTATTCTTTATTGCAAAACTTTGACATTTTATTAAATAAATTTTATAAAATCATTCTTCTGGATTAAAAAATGGTTCATCGATCATCTGAAAGAAAAAAAGAAACCTGTTGAGCATAAATTATCCCACGATTCCAACTGTTTTTGATGTCCCTGGCATACCCAACGAACTAAACAGTGATTCCTTATATTAACATTTAATTGTGAAATAAAATAGTTCACATAAGTAGATTTTAAAAGTATTGTCTAACAGATTTAAATTCCAAAAGGCATCTCATGTCGATCTCAAGCTGAGATTTACATGCATGTTAAGCTTCCTTAGCTCCTGACCTTTAAATTGACGAAATCTACATTCCGCTTGCAATATCAAGAAATCAACTCAACTAACTTTCAAACTGTTTTGACAAACGAAGCAAATGTAAAATATTTCAAAAAAAAAAATTTAAAAATAAATGCTCTTTATCTATTGAGACACAAGTCGAAATCCTCTTGATTATTATCATTTTATTTAATTATTCATCTTACTTTCTTTATAGGCGGCTCCAAGGCTAAATGTCTAGGCAAGTTGCAGCATTTACATGCCTCAATGTATGGGTTATTCAGGTTATGTGTTCCACAGCGTTCATACTTTTCTAGTTCCGGGCAGTTAGATTCGCTATGTGAACAGATTCGTACCATGCAACCATCTGTAATGAGTATCAAGTAAAACTTTTAACTATTCACCTGTAAATTAATGTAAGACTTTCTTAAGAGGAGTTCTTAAGTGATTTCATCTTATTTTAGCGAATACCCTTATGTTTTTAAATATACACAAAAGGTATAATATTTCTTGCATAAATAAGTGTTATCTCTTTTTATACTGAGAAAACAGCTCTTGAGTGCGGGGGGGGGGGGGGGGTTGAAAAGCCAATGCGGAATTGATTTTTTTTTTTATTGAAAACTTGTATTAATTCAAACATCCTGATTTAAAAAAAATTAAACTTTTCTTGAAGGACATTAGTTCATACACTCAGTATAAGAAAATTGAAAAACAAAGTGACACATAAAAAAAGTACTCTACAGCAATTTAATTTAAACTTCTTTATAAAAGAAATTTCCTTTTCAAGAGCAAGTTTTAATAAAAAGATATAAGATATCCGTGTGTATACTTGACATGGGTGATCGGTAATCTGCCGGGGTGCAGGGAGTTCCAGATAGGACCTCAGTTTCTCCGCTGATACCGTAAGCAGCTAACACAGTGACCAGTTTCAGTATCTTCATCTATATCATGTATACAGACAACAAAGAACATTTGCAATTACAGTTGCCTTATGAATATGATTAGGCAAGTAACTCTGGCAAACGTTAGACACTTAATCATTTTTTTTTAGATGTGGAAGATTTTGCTTCAGGTACATTTATATCGTGAAATTTTTCAAATGTTGTTAAAGATAAATTGCTTCAACACAATATCCTTGTAAAGGAAATCAAATGTTCAGACTTTGAACGTTATTGAGTCCTAATCTAACGAAAAAAGAAAATGGAAATGTAACCTAAAAATTTTCGTAGATTTTCGTCTCTGAGAGTGAAGTTATATTTTGCAGTTCATGTTTAGGTATATATCAAATGGTCTATTTAGCAAATCTTTTAACTGTAGCAATAACAAAATTAATCACTACATATTGCTTTTTATATATTTAATTTATTAACATTTGTGAACTTTACAACACCTTAAGATATTTGATTTACTACTTACCATGGTTAATCTGTCAGTTTCAGCAACAATTTGAGCAGATCCAGGCTCACTTGTTCTATTTATCTTACAAAGATGAATAGACACAGCTGTTACTGGTGTCAGTTTATTCACAATGTGACAGGAAAGGTATCTTCTTTTGTTGACGAGTATAAAGAAGGATTCTCTAACCGAGCAGTTTTAATACTCCAATGATTATTTTGTGTAAGATGTCATCTGGTGAGAATACTATAAAGAACATCTTATTTGTCTAGCTGCAAGAGACCAACAAGCCTTTTACTGAATTCAGTCAATATATACAGGTATTTAGTTCGAACACGTAAACAAAATTAAGAGCAGTAGGGCAATGTCTTTGTCTATTTCCTTACGCACCAATGCAATTTATTATGTTTTTGATGATACCGTATGTTTCTTTGGCATAAAAAGCAAATAATACTGTAGAAAAAATTTATTTCTTGGCCATGCACTTACATCGAAGTTGAAAATCGTAATCAAAATGAATCTAACTCATATGGCCTCAAATTGCTATAAAATTCTGTTTTCTAAATCTACATCATGGATTGGTACATTCTTTTACTATGCTTATTTGTATATAATGCTCTGTTGCAACCACTATTGAAATAACGACCACTATTGAAATAATTATATCAATAGTGGTTGAGAGTGCATTTCAATAGCAAACATAGTTAGTAACCACTATTGAAGTACGACCACTATTGAAATAATTATATCAATAGTTGTTGAGAGTGCATTTCAATAGCAAACATAGTTAGTAACCACTATTGAAATACGACCACTATTGAAATAATTATATCAATAGTGGTTGAGTGTGCATTTCAATAACAAACATAGGTAATAACCAATATTGAAACACAACCACTATTGAAATAATTATATCAATAGTGGTTAAGAGTACATTTCAATAACAAATATGCATGTAGGTAATAACCACTATTGAAATACGACCACTATTGAAATAATTATTTCAATAGTGAGTGAAAGTGCATTTCAATAACAAACACAGATTGTAACCACTAATAAATAATGTTCAGTTTTGAAATAAAGATTTCAATATTGATTAAATTATTGATTTCAATAGTGTATTGAACAATGAATCCAATAAATATTGAAATATTTCAAAAGTAGCTGATGAGGTGAAACTTTTCTTTCAATACTGGTAGTATTTCAATAGTGTTTGAAACCTATGGTTACTATATTGAAATGCACTCTCACCCACTACTGAAATAATTATTTCAATAGTGGTCGTATTTCAATAGTGGTAACTATTTATGTTTGTTATTGAAATGCAATCTCAACCACTATTGATATAATTATTTCAATAGTGGTCGTATTTCAACATGGGTTACTAACTATGTTTGCTATTGAAATACAATCTCAACCACTATTGATAGAATTATTTCAATAGTGGTCGAATTTCAATAGTGGTTACTAACTATGTTTGTTATTGAAATGCACTTTCAACCACTATTGATATAATTATTTCAATAGTGGTTTTATTTCAATAGTGGTTACTAACTATGTTTGTTAATGAAATGCACTCTCAACCACTATTGATATAATTATATCAATAGTGGTTGTTATTTCAATAGTGGTTGCAACAATGCTCTATTATACATAATGAAGTAAATTTAGTAAAGTCCATAATTTATCCTCACAAGTCTTCAAAATCAAATATTACAATATTTACGATATTCAAGTATCACACAGTCAAATTATATGCACTTTTATTACAAAGAACGTTGTTTATTTTTTCGAATTTGAACTTTGTAGGAGTGTAAGCATATGCATGCATAGTTATCTTAATTCTAGATCTGATATTTCATCTCCTTTCTAAGTAACAAAATAAATCCTAAATATTCCGTTTGATTTTTTAAAGACTTATTTTTTATTTCTTGAAAATATAACAAGAAATCAAAACTTTAGGTAGGGGTCTAATGAGAACATCCCATCTGAAAGATAACCCCATCAATTTTACTGCACCAACTGATAACATTATTTTATTTCCAGTGGACATGTATCTTTATATTTGAATTAAGGATAGATTTCATTTTGATTTCAACCATAATCCACCATGTCCGCTAGTTCCTAACTTTTTTAGATAGACTTTGATAAACGCAAACATAGTTCACAACCGCGACATAGGCTTCATCTACAATCAGAATAGCAGTATTTGTTCTTAAAAAAAACAAGAGGCTTACAGTTGTCTCGCTTTTCTCGAGTCTTTTTTCTTGATGTTTGTCGTTGTTGTCCTTTAATGATTTACAGCAGTTTCAATTTCTTTTCTGGGTCACTTCTCCTTCGTATTATAATAATGTTGAATAAATATGACAAATGCATCACTTTGGCATTTCTTTAACTCTTCTTTGTCCGATGTCCGAGTAAAAATGAGTGACATTCACATGTATGATATATTAAACCGAAGGTCGGGTGTTTGAACAAGGCCAATTAATTCAAACCATAAGCTCTTTATCTATTTATTTTCTATTATTAATCTGATTATTTCCCTTCATTTTTGAAAATCTAATTTCAGCCAGGGTTGCAGTTATTATTTTTTTAAGCAGTGTATTATTTTTTGATCTCAGTCTCACTTTTTCCAAAGGAATTAATAAGGGAAAAGTGAGACTTAGATCTGTACTTCGCTTACAGCTAACAACTTGGTGAACGTTCCAAATCAAACTGTATTTTTCTAAACATTGGTACTCCCTTTGATATTTTTCCAATAGGAAATCATTCCACAGAGTCCGCCAAATATGATTCATACACTATTACGTTAATGGTAATGTAACAACTAAGTTTAATGTTATAAACACATTTAACTTGTTCACTTAAACAATCTTCAACTTCCCCTACTTATACAGCTATATATCCTTATCTTTATCATTTAATCAAACGCTGACTGAAGTCCTTAAACAAGCTGTTTTGTACACACTAAATTGTTGATGACTTTTCCCGCTATTCCCTGATTATGTCAAAGTTCACACGGTGGGTGTAACCGGTCGGCAGGGGATGTTTACTCCTCCATTGCACCTGATTCCACTCTGATGTTTTTTAGGTCCGTGCTTGCTCTGCTGCTACTTGTATTGTTTGAATGGGCTTTTGAGCTTTAAAAATGTTCGTTTCTCAATATATTTCTTACTGTACTGTGGGCATACATATTACTAATTTGTTTTGAAAAGATTTGGCAGTTGTAGCTGAGGCTAAAAACTGTGGCCACCATTAAGAAAATCTTCACCTCTACACTATGAAATGATAACATTAATTCTTAGGCGAGTAGAAATCGAACTTATGAATAATCTAACAACGCAAGTGTATGGTAAACCAAAATCCTTTTTTGATGACACCATGCGCCAGCTATCAACTTTGGAAGAATACATAAATTTAAATCCCTTCCCCTTATACAGTATTATAATATTTTTTATGAAATTTGATTTAGTCCCGTATGGGATAAATTATTTTTTTCCTTTACATCAATATTTAAGTTTTGTTTTTTTATGACAAAGACAAGCAAGGGTCTATCAAATTGAAAGCATTAACTTCATGATTTATAGTCATATTGCAAAATTAGCTGTAATTTTGATAATTTTCATTCACTTAATCAAATGATAATTGCAGACAGGTTTGCTGCGTGCCTGATAAAATGAACAGTCCGAGTTCAATAATCGCTTTTTTGTAAATGGCGTGGTTTCAAAACACTTCCAGAAAGCATCAATTTTGCCGAGACATATTATTCAAGATAAAAATTTGATATCATTTTAACAGAAATTTTCTTACTTCTTACATAAATTTAAGCATTACAAGACAAAGTAATGTTTAAACGGGAGGATAACTTGCATAACAATATCCAGCAAAAAATTGCGTGTACTACCTGTTCTCAATAACCATTTCAGATTTTTTTTTTGATAATGGTCACTTATTTTTCGAAACTAAAATTCGGGTCATTTTTTACTTTGGTTATTATTTTGCAAAAATGCAATCTATATGAACAAAAGAAAGTAATATTGTCCAATTCTATGTATAGAAAATATTACATTGTACATACTAAAATCCATATCATATGTCATATCAGCCCGAGGGCTGATGTGATTTATAATATAGATTTTAACATGTATTATTCCACTGCGAGTTCACATCTGGTCATTGAAGAATGTTTCGTGCTTGTTTATGACATTTTTCTTTAAAATCTAATAGAACCAATTTAGGTAATTGAAAAAAAAAATTAAAACCACAAATGTCATTCAAGAATTATTTTATATGAATATTTCATTAAAATCAAGTAAAGTAACTTTTGAACTTTATACAAACGTTACTTCCGGTGTGATATGGATTTTCGGCCCGCCGGTCCGATACGTGATATGGATTTTCGGACCGGTCCTTGATATGGGGTATTATGAAGTCATTCGTATCACACCGCGCAGAATCGGTGTATAAACTACTAAGTATGTGATAATAATGTTCATTCAATATACAACATTTTTAGAGAATATTGTATTAATATACAGTAGTTTAGTTTATAAGTAATTAGTGGTATTCGATATATGAAACAAAATTATAGAGATAATAAGCAGTATTCAAGCTCAAAAGTCCATTATATAAATTTTGAAGCAGAGAAAACACGGACCTCTAAAACATCCGAGGTTCAATCAGGTACCATGCAGGAGTAAAAATCCCCCGTCGACCGGTCAAACTCTTTGTGTTTTACTTGTCATGATCGTGAAATAACTTAAAACCAGTTGACAATTCAGTGTGTAAATAAAAGCCCAACAATTAGTTTGAAAATTGTCAATCAGCATTTGACTTAATGCTAGGTTGTATATATTAATATTTAATTTGAAATGCATCAAAATGCAAAATGATTTTTTTTCATGCAACAATTTTCATTTTATTTATATTTATTAGATTCAATGTCTTTTGATATTCCTGTTTATAAAAGTTGACATTTGTTTTTAAATAGAAAAATTAATACAGTTTTAGAAATTGTTTTCATCCCCTTAGATACCAATGCTTATTAGCATGAAATGAAATGAGAAGTGATTTCTTGTGTCTTTCAATGATAACAAAAGCCTTTTACACTATGTGTTATAGAATATATGACGGAAATGTATAAAAAATAAAATGTGTATAAAAATCATACATTCTCTGAACTTTATTTAATAATTTTTTAACCTAAAATATATTTGTTGATCAATTTGCAATTAGAAAATGCAAACAGATGTTTTTCTGTCAAAAATATTTGTGGATAACTTTTTATATAATATGATTAACTTTATATATAACTTTAAAGAAATACTGTGGATAAATTTACATAACTTTGTGGATTCAGAGATACTTTTAAAGTGAGTATTTTTGATTACTTAAAAATTTTATAAACTTAAGAAAAACCTGACAAGCTAGGTTGTATATATTATTTGGTCATTGTTACAAGCAAAGAACTTAGGGAACACTGGTAGTGACTTTAAAGGAGACTGCTGATATTCCTGTTTCATCAACGCGCATGTGTTTTTCAATAACTTAGCTCGTTTTAGAAATTGTTCATCCCAGAGCAAGCTTTTGCGTT